CGATGCTTTTAACCAGAGCTTGGAAGGGGTGCAGCTTCCCAGCGGCCTACAGACCTTGACCTTCGGCGATGAGTTCGACCAGAGCTTGGAAGGTGTGCAGCTTCCCAGCGGCCTGCAGAGCTTGACCTTCGGCGACAGCTTCGACCAGAGCTTGGAAGCGGTGCAGCTTCCCAGCTCCTTACGGCGTTTCTCCTTGCGCGCCTTTGTGCTAGAGACCCGTTAAACTGTGAGGGTGCAAATGGAAAAGGGGCTTGATCATATGTGCAGTCGATCTCACTTGTGGCGGCTTGGCTCCTGGACCTTGCCCTTTTGGCAGGTCTCGGAACTTCATGCCTCCCCCTAGATCCCTAAACCCAAAAACCCCTAAACAGGCATCTTGGCGGCTAACAGTCGCGAGGTCACATGTGCATGGATTCACGTAGCTGGATTATGAGTGGCATGGCTGGAAGATTCATACTTACGACAGGCCTATGTAAAATTTACTAGTAAACAAGTAAACGGATATTCCTACCAGAAGGCAACTTCCAAGCCCTAAGACCCAGATTACTTGGAGGTTCATGGTACTGTGGTACTTAGTAACCCAATTATGACTGTACTTATAACTTATAACCCAATTATATTCCTACTAGTGGGTTGCTAAGTACCCCCCCCCCCCAAAAAAAAAATGAAAACAAAACAAACGTAATATGTACACATAATAATAATACTAAAAAAAGTAATGACGATGATGATGATGATGATGATGGTGATCATGATAAGAATAACAATAAGAAGAATAATGAGAATCATAATAAGATGCAGGCAAGTAATAGTAAATCATGATAAATAATCCAACAAACAGTACGGTTTAGGGTGTAGGGTGTAGGATGTAGGGTGTAGGGTTTAGGGTTTAGGGTTTAGCGTGAGATGCTTTCCAATTTACTGAGACACATATTCAATGAGAACGCCTAGCTGAAAAGCAGCCTTGGCAGAGAGCGAGGCACTTGAGAGAGCCCTCGCTAAAAGAAGGGTTTAGGGTTTAGGGTTTAGGGTTTAGGGTTTAGGGTTTAGGGTTTAGGGTTTAGGGTTTAGGGGCAGAACCAACACTCGTGGCTGGTGACTCTAAATCGACTTGAAAGTCGACCCGGATCCCAGATTCAAGATCCAAGAGACTCTCAAGTTTAGGGTTTAGGGTTTAGGGTTTAGGGTTTAGGGTTTAGGGTTTAGGGTTTAGGGTTTAGGGTTTAGGGTTTAGGGTTTCTGCGCGTGCAGGAGGGTGTAGCTGTTTACATACTGTTGTAAGGGCTTATAGGGGTTTAGTGGTTTTAAGGGGAAGTCATCTTTGCATACTGTTTTCGTTTAGAAGTCTAGAATGGTTTATATATGGGTTCATAAGTTTAGAAGGGAAGTCCTCTTGCCATGCTATTCTTTCCCCACCCCCCCCCCCCCCCCCCCCCCCCCCCCCCCCCCCCCCCCCCCCCCCCCCCCCCCTGGGCCTCACCAACACGAGCTTCAAAATGAAATGGTAGGCCCAAGGAGGGGTCAGGGTGCCCTACATACAGACTTATACAGAGAAATTATGCGCACACCTGGGTGCACATAGGAACCTTAAACCCTTAACCCGAAACCTAACCCAAGCCAGGAAACCCTAAACCCTAAACCCTAAACCCTGGGAAAGCCTTCAATAGGAATTGTAGGATGTGGCCTGCCCTCTTGTCACACTGCAGCCCGTTGCGTGGACAAAGCAAGTGCATAATCTCCCTGACCCCTGACCCAATAAAGATCTACTCCCTGCTTCCCCGACTCCCCCTAACCCAAGCCTCAACTTGCTCCTCGTGATGACAGACATGAGTGTCCAGGGGGGATCTCTGGCAGAAAGGGCTGAACGACGAGCCTTTGAGCTCCTCCAGACCCCTGAAAACCTCACAAAGAGCACATTCTGGAGCTTTAGGATTTGGCCCCTGCCCAGTGCAAGCAGGGCCCCACGAATGCTCGGCAGATGATAACGGGGGGCAACCCACGAAGCTCTAAGGCCCCCCTCCATAACATCTTTGACCTTCCCTCTGTAACCCAAGCTGCAACAAGATTCGTTAGACATCATGCTCCTGGATTGCCCTTCAGCACTCACAATTCTGGATGGAGCGAAACATGGGGTCCATGTTGACACTCACAATGCCTGCCCCCCAAATATCATAATGAATCTCACCACGTTTCAGGGAGGGGGCTTGTGGATTGAGCACCCAGAGGGACAGGATCACCTCAAATATGAGGGCAAAAACCTGCGAGGAAAGATCTGGGAACTAAGCCAGTTGTTTTCTCTGCTTCACGCCTGAGGCATGTGGCCATGCCGTGGAAGGGGGCTAGGAGGGTGGTCCTGATTGCTTTCACTGTTGGGACAGTCAGGACCCTATCAGAAGAAGTCAGCTGCTGCGGGCTTCTGCCTGCCTACTAAGGCTCAGCTTAGTTTCTACAAGGCGCATGTCATCCGCCCAGGAGGACCGCGGCAGCTCACACTGCCCAGCAGCATGGTCAGGGGAAGTGTGGGGGTAGCCCTGCTGGGGCCACTCACCCAGCTTGAGCTTGAATGTGCTGAGGCCATCGAGGTAACGAGCTCGGGATGAAGAACCTGTCAAAGCTACAGGGCTCCGTGAGGGGAACTACCTTTGCACAGCATAGGGCTCCTCCACCCTCCCATACGCGTCCCCTCCTGCCCCCCCTGCCCGGAGCCTTGCCCTAAGAGAGCCAAGACAACACCGGCGGGTTTCTGACCATGTCTGTCCAAGGAACAGAGAGCTGTTGGACTGAGGGTTGCGTGTGCAACACATGCCAGGTTCATGGGATAGTTCCACCTGTTGAAACATAAGACTCTCCAACCTCTGCATGTCTGTAACTGCTGCATGATGCATGCTGAATTTGTGAGCTTCCTGTCACCGCGATGAGATGAATCGACTGTGTCAGATTGTCATGTTACCGGCTTGCGCCCCCCCCCCCCCCCCCCCGCCCATCTTCTCATACTGCATGAGCCCTCCCATCCTCCCAAACCCCCTCTATCGCAAGCCAGCCTGGGCCCCGCGCGAGGGGCACGGGGGTCCAAAGAAAGTCTTAACGGGGATCCGCGACTGCCTGGTGCAGTGGAAGCTCATGTCTGCCCGCGCTAGAACTACATACTCCCCCACCGCTACATGCACCCCACTCTATCATAGTATGTAAAACTCCTTTGTGCTACCCTAATATATATAACTCCTAGCATTGAGCCATGGCTGCTAGCGTTTGCAAGCTGTCGACTGCATGATGTGAGGGCTGATGAGGGAAGCTGCGCTACGGCTGCTCTGCAGTGGGTCAGATTGGAAGGATCTCTGAAATGGTCTGACGCTGGAAATGGTGACTTGGATCGCGACTAGCCAATCTATCCAGGCCCCTAGGCCTTCTGCTCCTTTAACTGACTGACTGCATGGCCGGGCGAGTGGGGACCACATGCTCTGGAGCCCGCTGCACCTGCTGCCGCCACCACCATCAGACAGACCATCAAAGCAGCAAAAGAATGGGCAAAGCGGCAAAGTGAAAGGAAAGCTGGATGGGAGCAGCACGGCAGCGTGAAGGGAAAGCTGGATGGGAGCAGTGCAGGAAGAGGTGACCACTGTGCGCCCCGCACCTGGCAGGAAGTCTACGCTAATTAGGTGTGGCGCTGGACGGCAAGCACGATGAGCCTGCGGAAAGAGAGAGAGAGAGAGAGAGAGAGAGAGAGAGAGAGAGAGAGAGAGAGAGAGAGAGAGAGAGAGAGAGAGAGAGAGAGAGAGAGAGAGAGAGAGAAGAGAGAGAGCGAGAGAGAGACAGAGAGAGACAGAGAGAGAGAGAGAGAGAGAGAGAGAGAGAGAGAGAGAGAGAGAGAGAGAGAGAGAGAGAGAGAGAGAGAGAGAGAGAGAGAGAGAGAGAGAGAGAGAGAGAGAGAGAGAGAGAGAGAGAGAGTGGGCATGTCAAGCTGGCCTCAGGTGACAGACAAGTGCTGAGCCTCTGAGGCGTGAGGCCAGGAATTAAGTAAAGGTAGAACACGCGCCCAAGAAGTTTGCATGATGCTGTTATCCCAGCCAGTGGCCACAGGCGTGCACAGACCTATGTAACCAGCAATGTACATGCAAACTCGGCAAGAAAAGCTATATTGAATTCACGAATTCGTGCTGACTGAGCCTCCCTGCATGATGCTGACGCTACTGCATGAAGCCTACTGCAGAGATTGCATTTGACAGGCGTGCACAGATCTAAGTGCCTTGCAATGAACACGCAAACTCAGCAGAAAGCGGTATACGGAATTCATGAATTCATGATTAGTGAGCCTCTTTGCATGATGCTGATACGGATGCATGAAGCATGCTACATGCTAATTTAAGAATTCGTGCATGGCTGCCACGTATGAAGTGCCAGTGACCCCTAGGGATTGAGGCCTGGAAGGGACCCTACCCGTTGCCACCGGCCACAGGCTTGTCCATATCTAATTACTTCCCTTGCAGGCCTCCCCCCCCCTGTAGTTTACTCACAAGATCCTAGGTTTTTGAAGCAGAGCGCACAGACATGCTCTGAAAGCCCTGATAGGGGGCCTAGACGCCTTTGAAGCATGCGTCGACGTGGGTGCACAAGGGGAGGGCAGGGGTCATGAGTTACTAGCTTCTTCATAGCGTCCTAGTTGAGCATGGATTTCTGATGTCCATCTGCAAGTCTTGTAGGTCCTGCCGACCCGCATCTACATGCCACAGTGAGAGTACCCTCATCTGTCACCTTTGATAGGTGCCACAGGCGTGCCCAGAGTCTAACTCTTGCCTCTAGGGTGAGGACTGGAAGCTGCTGCTACGGAACCCCCGAGAGCCACAAAAGCCCTTTGAAATGCGCGAGGGCTCTCGGGACTAAGCAGGCCCCTTTGAAGCATTGCCTACCCCGCTGAACTGCGGAGTGGGCAATTCTCATTTTTGAAGGGGTGGGCTCTTGGTTTCGGTGTTTGTCCTTGAAGGTCTGTTTGTCTTTTTCGGTGGATGTTGGCGTTGGGGCTGGTTGATTTCAGTAGACCAACCTGAGGCCCGCCCGAAGCAGTAGGAGAACTCAGCTCTCACCCGAACTTAGGCCTTTACTACGCCCGACCTTTTCCCCGTATACGCTTGCGACACGGGTGGGGAAAAAAAAACCCTAAACCCTAAACCCTAAACCCTGAACCCTGAACCTGAACCCCAGACGAAACCCCTGCAGGCCGAGGAGGAGCTTCCCGCCACGGCGGCCCTGTCCCACTCAGCCAGCAAGGTGCCCTCGGAATGCCTTTCTTTTGTGTGTTTGGTGACTTGGGTTTAGGGTTTAGGTTTGGGGTTTAGGGTTTAAGGTTTAGGGTTTAGGGTTTAGGATTTGGGGTTTAGTGTTCAGGCTTTCTTGTGTTTGGTGACTTTGGGGTTTCGGCGCCTTAGGGAGAGAGAGAGATTCATAAATACATAAATAGCTGTTTATATATATATATATATATATGTATATGTATATGTAGATAGAGAGAGAGAGAGGACAGAGAAAGCGAGAGAGAGAAATAGAGAGATACAGAGAGAGAGAGAGAGAGAGAGAGAGAGAGAGAGAGAGAGAGAGAGAGAGAGAGAGAGAGAGAGAGAGAGAGAGAGAGAGAGAGAGAGAGAGAAGAGAGAGAGAGAGAGAGAGAGAGAGAGAGAGAGAGAGAGAGAGAGAGAGAGAGAGAGAGAGAAGAGAGAGAGAGAGAGAGAGAGAGAGAGAGAGAGAGAGAGAGAGAGAGAGAGAGAGAGAGAGAGAGAGAGAGCGAGAGGGCGAGAGAGCGAGAGAAGGAGAGAGGAAGAGAGTTTTGGAGCTTGAGGGTTTACAAGGTTTATGGTTTAGGGTTGCTCACAGGCAAGCTGCCACAGGAGCCCTGAAGCAAAAGAGTTTAGGGTTCAGGGTTTGAGGCCGTGGGAGTTCAAAAGACCCGAAACCTGAAGCCTTTACCCAGGCGGCACTGGACCAGCTCTTTGCAGAGCTTGTGGATCCGGGCAACAAAGGCCAGGAACAAAAGCGCTTGGAAGGGTTTTTGCAGGGGTAGGTTTCAACAGAATTATCTTGCACTTAATCCCCTACATATTCCTGAGACAGGCATAACAAGTGAACTTTTATAGACCTCCAAACCTACCTACCCCAGTTTGGGTAGTGCTCAGTTGGGTTTTAAGGCGGGAGGGCTAAGGGCTTTTCGGATTATCTAATATATTTTGGATTGTCTAGGGCGACTAGGAGGTTTCATGGGTAGGTAGAAAGCGGTTATCAGTGCCCTGAGTAGGCTTATGCCCTCAGCGATAACTACCCATGAACATCCTCTTACTGAAGTTTGGGTTACCCTAAACCATAAACCCAAAACCCTAAACCCTACGTCCCTTACCTCGTCACTGGCGGTTTTAGGGGTTTAGGATTTGCTTCTGTTGTTGGAGTGTGTCTCTGAGAAGCCCTTAGCCTTCAACTTGTCTACAAACGATGTGTGGCATGGTCTGTGGGCTCAAAAAGTCTCCCCAAAGAAGGTCGGGGCCCTAGAGCCATGGGTCGGCAACTGATCCTTACAAATCCTAAGCGCTAAACCCCAAACCCCAAACCCTGAACCCTAAACCCTAAACCCTAAACCTAAAACCCTAAAACCCAACACCCTAAACCCAAAACCCAAAACCCTAAACCCTAGTGTATACAGTATATCCAGACTTTCCCCTGCAGAGTGTCCGAGAGGTCAGCTAAGCGGGTGGCAAAAAAAACCCTAGTGACAAAGACGCCTAAACCCAACAACGCGGACTGGGACGTCGACACAGGTGTCGTCGGCTACGAGGACTTTGCTTGGCTTCACACTCGCCTGCCTTGGGCTTGGACGGGTCCCTGCTTCGTAGGGCTCCGATAGGGTTTAGGGTTTAAAGGTTTAGGGTTCAGGGTTTAGGGTTTAGGGTTTAGGGTATAGGGTTTCGGGTTTTTCTGGTTTTCGGGTTTAGGGGTTTAGGGTTTCGGTTTTAGGATTTATGAGCTGGAGGTCACAGAGTCGAGCCGTAGCCAGTGAGTTCCATGTCGGGACTGCGCGGCAAACAAATCTGCCTAAACCCTAAACCCTAAACCCTAAACCCTAAACCCCCAATGCGAAACCGTCGTCGCTTCTGGACTTGGGCTCTTGGACATGCTGGTTTTGGACATGCTGGTTCCTAGCAGGGAATGAGGGAAGTAGGGCCCCATGCATGCCCTTTGCGGGATTATCGGGTTTAGGGTTTAGGGTTTAGGGTTTAGGGTTTAGGTCTTCGGGTACCTCATTCCCTCATTCCCTACCAAGAACCAGGCAGTTGGACATGCTGATGATTCCATGATTGGAACTTTCTGGCGGGTCCACATGGTCTCGAATTGTTTGGGGCCTACGCTAGCATCATGTTGCTTTGTATTGTTTGGTATGATGAGAACTTGCATATACATAAATGAAGAAATAAGCAACAAGTACAGGTATATACGAACATGAGCACGTTTAGTTCACTCCGTATCACAAGAAAGGAACGACATAGGGGCGCCCCAACTCCATCTAGCTAAAGGGAATCGGCCCGCGCGCTGCCATTCAAAACCTGGCTCCCTAGACCCTCTTATAATGAAGTACCCTAAACCCTAAACCCTAAACCCTAAACTCACATCGAAGCCGAGGATGTTCTACAACGGCCGGCCCACGAGCATCACGGACCGGCTGCAGAGCCTGGGCGGCACCTACCCGCAGCAGGCAGGGGGGTGGGAAGAAGAAAAGGTTTAGGGTTTAGGGTTTAGTGTTTAGGGTCTGGGGTTTAGGGTTTAGGGCCTTCGTACTTCATGGGAATCTTGATTCGGGGCCTTCCAGCAACTGGTGGCTGAGAGTGGAACATTGAGTCCAGTCAAGTCCAGAGAACCCTACCATGCAGGTCCTTTCCTGAGCCTCGAAGGACTCTTACTAGGGTCTAGGGCTTACGGTTTAGGGTTTCTATGGATGTTGGTCCAAGGTCCACAACCCTAAGCCCCAAACCCTAAACCCTAAAACCCTAAACCGTAAACGCTAAACCCTAAACCCTAAACCCTGAACCCTGAACCCTAAACCCTAGGCCCTAAACCCAAACCCTAGGGCGATTTTGAGCTGTTGCATGCTTCCGGGACTTGGAGCAGGTCTTCCGAAAGTTCGATCTCAACCAGGACACGCTTCTGGACAAGGTGCTGAGTCGGGGGGGCCGTTTCGGGTTTAGGGTTTAGGGTTTAGGGTTTAGGGTTTAGGGTTTAGGGTTTAGGGTTTAGGGTTTAGGGTTTAGGGTCGCTGATCGTTCAGAAGGCATTGGAAGGAAACCCTAACCCCAAACCCTAAACTCGCTGCTGGACGGAACTACGCTTCCGCTTTGGTTGCAATGTGTTTCTAGCTGGTTTAAGAGATTCAACAGTCGCGGTTTTAGGGAATCCCCGGGTATTTGGGTGTGTATAGTCAAGGAAATTAGAAGTATAATTTTTCTGTTAAGGTTCTAAGGGGAGTATAGTGAAGGAGTTACTACATCATTTTGGGATCTACATGTCTACGGTATGGACACATGGGCCTTCTGAGAGTTTCAGTTGTTGCCACTGTTGTTTTGTGATGTGCTGAGCCTTGGCAGTAGAGTAGGTAACCCTAAACCCTGAACCCTGAACCTTAAACCCTAAACCCCAACCCCTAAACGCTTGCGACACGGGCGGGGAACAAACCTAAACCCTCACCTTCTCGGGGTATTTAAACCCTAAACCCTAAACCCTAAACCCTAAACCCTAAACCTGAACCCTACAGAATCCCAAAGGTGAACCTGTAGTTCCTTGGGGGCACGTGCCAGAGCTGCAACATGGGTTCACCTGACATGTTGCCCGGAACCCGGATCCTTATGAGATATTGAAATTCGAAAGGTATATAATATAATATGTCTCTCTATCTATCTATCTATCTATCTATCTATCTCTATAGATATATATAATCAACCTGCTATGCTATAGTATGAGACAAAAACTATATGTAGAATGTACTCTCTCTCTCTACATATATATATATATATGTATAGCTTTTAAGGCCCCCTAAACCCTAAACCCTAAACCCTGAACCAAAAACCCTAAACCCTAAACCCTGAACCAAAAACCCTAAACCCACTCGAGCCCGCGGAAGGCCGAGTGGAATGAGTACGCGTCAAGCCTGGAACTTGGCCGGGCACAAAAAAGCGGGCACAAGCCCTGAAGCGTCTGGCTGTGGGGATTAGGGTTTAGGGTTTAGGGTGTAGGGTTTAGGGTGTAGGGTTTAGGGTGATTCTGTGGAATGGTCATCTTGATGCTGTGCCCTGAAGCCGTTTCTTTTGCTCTCCTGGTGCAAAGTTGGTGTTTTCAGGTGCACCCTGTCAACCCAAGTCCTCGAGTTCTCAGAAGGGTGTTTACGAAATCAGGGGTCCCTTACAGTAAGGACCCCAATAAGGTATCCCTAATTTCGGAAACCCCCCCCCCCCCCCCCCCCCACATGGTAGTTCTTTGTGAGGTTATAGGGTAACTACGAAGTTGTGGAGCCCGGTTTCGGGTTTAGGGTTTAGCGCCCTCACTTTCCACCCAAACGTCCAACGTACACCTGAATGTCTAGACGCTCCTGAGACCGCCACGGGCCAGAGCGCAAAGGAGAGAGCGAAAGAGAGAGCGAGAGAGAGAGAGAGAGGGAGAGGGAAAGAAAGACAAGAACGCACACACACACACACAACGACAAGACATAAAGAAGAGCATAGAACAGATGAACAAATCAAAGTGGACAAAAAACTGCTTCCAGTGAGGTCTGGTCTCCGTGGGGACCTGAGACTGGCACAGGAAGGGTTGCCGTACCCTAACCTTTAACAACCCTAAACCCTAAACCCTAAACCCTAAACCCTAAACCCTAAACCCAGGGGGTTGGGGCGTCTAAGCAGCTAAAGGGCCCAATTTCCCTTCCAGTCGAAGTCTAATTGGGCTTGGAGGTTAATGGTACTTTGTAACCCAATTCTAACCGTACTTATAACCCACTTATAGCCCTATTAGGGTACTTAAGGGGCTTATAGCTGCACGTAGAATTCCTCCAAGCAGTTTCATGGCCTTTCATGTGGTCCCTTGCCCCTCTTTAAAGGGTTCTGATGCATGTCAGGGGTCAGGGGTAAGGGGTAATTAAGGGGTAAGGGCTCCCCTTTTAAAGGCCCATGTTGAGGCACCGTGCAGCTTGGGCTTTGCTTGATGCGCGCGAGAAGTTCCAGTGAGACGTCAAGCGGCGCTGCTGCTTAAACCCGAAAACCCTATATTCCCTGTAAACACCATAAACCCTCTGTTCCTAATCCCTCATGCATCGCACCCGCAACGGTTTATGCAGCAGTTGCAGGTCCTGGGCCGCGCCTACCTGAAGGACGCCTGCAAAGGCAGCACTGTTCAGTTGCGGCGGAGGGCACTGAGGTTTTAGGGATGTAGGTTGAAGGATTTAGTCGAAGGCCTTAGGGCTTGTAGGGTATAGGATTCAATAGGATTCAAGGATTTAATGGTTTAGGGTAAAGGCTTCAGGGCTTCAGAGTCTGGGTTTGGAAGAAGTGGCTTTGCTGGTCTCGGAGAGGGGGTGTGGGACGGCAACAGGAGTTAGATGCATAAATTTCTCTTCCAAACCGCAGGCTGTAAATGGTCGAGAGGAGTCCTTACATTAGGTTCTAGGGTTTTGGCTTCGGGTTTAGGGTTCAGGGTTTAGGGTTTGGGGTTGCAGGCTGGATGTCAGAGGTTTCGGGGTTTAGAGACCCAAAGCGAAACCTCAGCGGGCAACGCGCCCTGCAGTCGCTCCCCCAAAAAGAGACCCAGAACGATGGAGTATATACTTTGGCCCCTAGAGCGCTTTATGGGAACCCCTGTGTGTATGGACCCTTAGGGCTTACATCGGGGTCACATCCTGTCTAGTCTGCAGGGTTCAGGCAGGACGGAGCAAGAGAGCCCTAAACCCCCAAGTTGGGGAGGTTCCCCCTTATACTAACAGTCCCTTTATCGGGATTACAGAACCCCCTATTCGAATCCCTATTGAGGACTGTTTGTAGAGGGGGGGGACATCCCAACCCTAAACCCAACAAGAGAACACCAACAGCCCTCCAGCAGCCCTACCTAAACCCTAAACCCTAAACCCTAAACCCTAAACCCTAAACCCTAAACCCCAAACCCTAAACCCTAAACCCTGAGCCATGCTGCACCCTAAGCCCTACCTTCCTACAGCATCAAGACCCAAAGCCGTACACTACAAAAAGCCCAAGGCATAGAAACCCTGATAAACCCCCTAAACCTCAACCCGAAACCCTCAAGCTCCTTCAACCCTACAACCCTAAACCCTAAACCCTAAACCCTAAACCCTAAACCCTGTAACTTGGGATGTGCCCCCTTGTACTGACAGTCCTCATTAGGTATTGATTATAATAGGGGGTACTATAATCCCTATTAAGGACGGTCAGTATACGGGGGAACGTCCCAACCCGAAGCCCCTAAACCCTAAACCCTAAACCCTAAACCCTAAACCCTAAACCCTAAACCCTAAACCCTAAACCCTAAACCCTAAACCCCCCAAAACAGCAGCTCAGAGTGCGCGTGCAGGCCTTCTGCGCGAGCAGCAGGAGCAAGAGTCCAAGAAGGTGGCCGGAGCTCTGGCCTGGAGGCCAACTTGGAGGTTCAGGGTTTAGGGTTTAGGGTTTAGGGTTTAGGGTTTAGGGTTCAGGGTTCAGGGTTCAGGGTTTAGGGTTTAGGGTTTAGGGTTTAGGGTAACCCATCATAAGTGTAGTTATAGCCCACATATAAGACCCTTAAGTACCCTAATAGGGTGATAATCGGGTTACGTATAATCCAAGAACGAGGGCTTTGAGATTCGACGCGGAAATGAAAGGAACTAGGGTCTGTGGGGTAAGTTTGTTTGGGGTTTGTGAAGGGTCGAAAAGGGTTTATAAAGGGTCTGCAGGGTTTTTGGACGGGTTTTTGAGGGTTGTATGGGGTTTTTGCAGGGTTTGTGGGGTTTATGAGGGTCTAGGGTTGAGGGCACCAAGCCCGGATAAGCCCGGATGCAAGTAGAAGGTTGTGTTTTGAGCGGGGTGGGCTTGCGCCTTGCAGAGCGACACAGGGTTTGTTTCAACCCTACACTTTTTTTGGGGAAAAGGGAGGAACCGAAGAACCATGTAGACCCTCCACGGAAGCATAAAGTTGGAACATGGTTTTAGAACGAGAAGTGCTGGGATTCCTTTTAGCAAACCCTAAACCCGAAGCCCTAAACCCTAAACCCTAAACCCTAAACCCTAAACCCTAAACCCTAAACTCTCTTCGGGTCTGAGGAGAATGATGTTCCAACTTTTGGGAGTCTACTGTAGGGTGGGGTGTCTTATGAGGGTCTGCAGAGACTAGCCAAGCTGAGGGTTCAGAGTTTAGGGTTTAGGGTTTAGGGTTTAGGGTTTAGGGTCCGGCTGATAGGACAGAGCTCCGAGCTCAACAACTTATGGGGTTTGCCGGGATCAGGTTCACCGTTGCAAGGGAGTCCGTTTGGCTGTCGTGTTCCAGCTTGTCAGGGTTCTTTGGCCGGCTAGAAATGGCCACCCCAGCATGAGGAGTAGGGTTGTAGGACAAAGGGCTCGTCTACTGAATCATGTTGCTACCCCATGTATAACGGACATCAACCTAGGGGGGGAGGTGTAGGGTTGATGGTTTAAAAGAAGACCAGCAACCCGCTTAGAAGGTATGACGACCAGGCCTCCAGACAGATGCTGGAGAAGGTGGGTCTAGGATCGAGGGTTCTGGGGTTTTAGCCCTAAACCCGAAACCCTAAACCCTAAACCCTAAACCCCTCACCGAAAAGGGGTTTAGGGCACCCGGAGGTCCTCAGACCAAAACCCTGAGCCCCGAAAATTTCAGGAAGTTCGCGCGTAATCTCTGAGGGGTAGTTTCATCTCTTAACATAGTCCCTTCCGGGTTCTAAAGTATGGGCCCTTGGGTTGTAGGGTTTAGGGCTAGGGTTTAGGGCTAGGGTTTAGGGCTCGGACGGCCCTTGAATTCCTCGGTTGCACTTGGATGTAGGGCTCTGGGTTCAGAGGGTTTGTGCCGTAGAGGGTTTAGGGTTCCCAGAGACTCCAAAACCCCTTAATTCAGGAATATACCTTAAATCATATTCGGGTTCCTATTCGAATTTAGGGTCTATTCCTTAATTAAGGGGTTTTGGAGTCTCTGGGTTGATCCCGCGGTAGACGATGGGGGAACGCACGATTACGGTGGCCGGTCCTAGGTGGTTTTGGAGGTTGGGCGTTGCAGAGCTTATGGTCGAACGGCTTAAGGTTTAGGGGCTTAGTGCTAATTACTGGAAGGGACTTGTTGTGTTGACGAGATTGTGAGGTTTAGGCTGGGACCTTTTGGGCTTTACAGCTTGTCCTGACATTCTGCGTGCTACCACCGTCAAGTACTTGGCAGCCCAGAGGTACCCTCTACACTTTTTTTGGTTCTGGGTTCCCTGGCAAAGCAACCAATCACAAAAAAGGGTATCCTTATTGATTACTGTGCTACCAAGATTCGCCATGCGGGCGCCAGCTACAACACCAAACCAGGGAGCCGCGACGACTCGCGCTGCAGCAGAAATTCGAGCAGCTTGCCGGGAGCAAGACTGGCAGCTTGCGGTCCATCGGCTCCAGGACTTGTGGCCAACAGAAGGGGACCAGAAGGCATTCTCCACAGCCATCGTGGGTTGCGGCAGGGCCAGGCGGTGGCAGGTTTCAATCCAAGTTCTTGCAGAGATCACGATGGCTGAGGTGCTGCCCAATGTTCGCAGTTTCAGTGCTGCGATCACGGCGTGCGAGAAAGGCCTGCAGTGGCAGCTTGCTATTCAGCTTCTCTCGCAGATGAGGTTGGCGCGAGTTGAAACAAACGTGTTCAGCTACAGTGCCGGCATCAGCGCCTGTGAGAAGGGTGGTGAATGGCAGATGGCCCTGCACTTGCTCTCGCAGATGCCCGCAGCCCGAGTAGTGCCAAACACTGTCAGCTTCAATGCCGGCATCAGTGCTTGTGAGAAAGGTGGTGAGTGGCAGCTGGCCTTGCATTTGCTTTCGCAGATGCCCATGGCCCAAGTGGTGCCAAACGTAATCAGCTGCAGTGCTGGCATCAGCGCATGCGAGAAGGGCGGTGAGTGGCAGATGGCCCTGCATTTGCTTTCACAGATGCCCGTGGCCAGAGTGGTGCCGAATGACGTCAGCTTCAATTCCGGCATAAGTGCCTGTCAGAAGGGCGGGGAGTGGCAGATGGCGCTGCGGTTGCTTTCGCAGATGCCTTTGGCCAAAGTGATTCCAGACATCATCAGCTTCAATGCCAGCATCAGTGCTTGTGAGAAGTGTGGTGAATGGCAGATGGCCTTGCATTTGCTTTCGCGAATGCCCACGGCTAGAGCGGTGCCAAACGTAATCAGCTTTAGTGCAGGCATCAGCGCCTGTGAGAAGGGGGGTGAGTGGCAGAAGGCTCTTCATTTGCTGTTGCAGATGCCCGTGGCCAGAGTGGTGCCAAACGACATCAGCTTCAATGCCGGCATCAGCGCATGTGAAAAGGGCGGTGTGTGGCAGATGGCCCTGCATTTGCTTTCACAGATGCCCACAGCCAGAGTAGTGCCAAACACCGTCAGCTTCAACGCCGGCATCAGCGCCTGTGAGAAGGGTGGTGAGTGGCAAATGGCCCTGCATTTGCTTTCGCAGATGCCCATTGCCAGAGTTGTGCCAAACGACATCAGCTTCAATGCTGGCATCAGTGCCTGTGAAAAGGGTGGTGAGTGGGAGACTGCCCTGCATTTGTTTTCGCAGATGTCGATGGCAAGAGTGAGTCCAGACGTCATCAGCTTCAATGCTGGCATCAGCGCCTGTGAAAAGGGTGGTGAGTGGCAGATGGCCCTGCATTTGCTTTCGCAGATGCCCGTGGCCAAAGTGGTCCCAAACGTCATAAGCTTCAGTGCCGGCATCAGCGCCTGTGAGAAGGGTGGTGAGTCGCAGATGGCCTTGCGTTTGCTTTCGCAACTTTCGCGCATGCCCATGGTACCAAACGAAATCAGCTTCAATGCCGGTATTCGGGCTTGTAAAAACGGTGGTGAGTGGCAGATGGCACTACACATTCTTGCGCAGATGTGCGTGGCCCAACTGGTGCCAAACGAAATCAGCTTCAATGCCGGCATCAGTGCTTGTGAGAAGGGTGGTGAGTGGCAGATGGCCGTGCAATTGCTTTCGCAGATGCCCTTGGCCAGAGCGATTGCAGACGACATCAGCTTTAATGCCAGCATCAGCGCCTGTGAGAAGCGTGGCAAATGGCGGATGGCCCTGCACTTGCTTTCACAGATGCCCATGGCCAGGGTGATTCCAGACGTAATCAGCTTCAGTGCCGGCATCAGCGCCTGTGAGAAGGGTGGTGAGTGGCAAGTGGCCCTGCATTTGCTCTCGCAGATGCCCGGGGCAAGAGTGTTACCAAACGACATCAGCTTCAATGCCGGCATCAGTGCCTGCGAGAAAGGTGGCGCGTGGCAGATGGCTCTGCTATTGCTTTGGCATATGCCTATGGGTAGAGTCATTCCAGATGTCATCAGCTTCAGTGCCGGCATCAGCGCCTGTGAGAAGGGTGGTGAGTGGCAGATGGCCTTGCATTTGCTTTCACAGATGCCCATGGCCAGAGTGGTGCCGAACGACATCAGCTTCAATGCCGGCATCAGCGCCTGTGAGAAGGCTGGTGAGTGGCAGATGGCCCTGCATTTGCTTTCGCAGATGCCCATGGCCAGAGTGCTGCCAAACGAAATCAGCTTCAATGCCGGCATCAGTGCCTGTAAGAGGGTCTGCGAGTCAGTGTCGGATGGCCCTGCCTTTGCTTTCACAGATGCAGGTGCCCATGGACAGAGTGGTGCCACATGACATCAGCTCCAGTGGCCCCTGCAGATGCTTTGCCAGAGCGTGCCAAATGCCCTCATTTTCAGGGCCGGCACCAGCAGATGGCCTTGCAGTTTCTTTTGGCACATGGGCAGATTGGCGCCAAGCGAAATCCGCTTCAATGCTGCTACTTGTGCGTGGGTCTCAGCCTGCCTATGGGAGCTCGGGTTGTCATTTTTTGCGATGACAGCACGGAGCGGAATCCGGGCACAAATTCTTAGGCCCAAATTCTGGACGCAGAGTACACCGAGGTTTTTGGTTTTGATTTTTGCAACCCAGGGTTAGGAAATCGTCCCAGAAAAGCCATTTGAGCTCACAACCTAGGAAGAGTCTCTTCTGGGGAAAAAGAAAACCCTAAACCTAAACCCTAAACCCTAAGTTTTAGTAGACCAACCCAGGAACATTCTGGAAAATCGCAGCCGGGCCAGACGTCCAGCCTTCGGTGCGCAGCTTGCTGGAGCCAGGGCAGGAGAGCGAGGGCTAAAGAACAGGATGTGTCATTTCGACAAAAACAAAACTGTCTTGAGCAAGCAAGACTCAATCAAGCCAGCACCCAAGCAGCATCATGAGTCTATACAGAACGGAATCTCAAGTGGAACGCTTAGGGACGGCTTTGATTAGGGTTTCGGGTTTAGGGCTAGGGGTTTAGGGTTCAGGGTTTCGGGTTCTGGGTTTAGGGTTCTGCGTTCAGGCCGGAGCCTCCGCAGTCCTGGGTTAAAAAGGTTCAGGGTACAGGGTTGAGAGTGGAGAGGAGGCTTCGTGTCAACGATATAGGGTTGCCCGAAGCCCTAATTTATCAAACCCTATAAACCCGAAACCCCCTAAATCACTACTCAGATGCGGAGAGAGCGCCGAGAAAGCCGCTTTTCGGGGTTTAGACCTACGGCCCTATAGCCCGAAGCCCTCGCGCGACAGGAAAGCCAAGTGGTGTATTGCATTGCCAGGAGACTTCTACTGCTACTGGCCACTGAGCTCACGGGGATTCGCCCATCTCCACCTGACGATCCGGGTATTGATGTTTTGGTGTTTAGGGTTTAATGTTAGGGACGAGATCTGTAGGACCAAGATGCATGCCTTTTTTTTCCAGCCACGGTGGGTGGCGATGAATGAACTGCAGCCGCATGTGCGCGCCTTGTCATTCTCAGAATGTGGGGAGTAGCGTGGCCGAATGCAAACACATGTGCCTTACGTGTATAGTAAACAATGCAGAGAACTTTTTTGGCGGGAGAATCCATGGCCCCATTCTTTTAGGGCTGTTGCCTGTTTCCCGTTTGTTACGGCTTCGAAGAGCCCCAAGCTTGTTAAGAAGAACTATGTTTACGGCTTGGGGTTAAGGATGTAGAGAGAGAGAGAGAGAGAGGGTTCAGGGTTTCCAAGAATAATTATGAAGCTAACGTCTAGTTGTCATAGCCCCCCCTTCCCCCCCCCTCCCTACACATATTCCAGAGGGTTGGGCGAGATTTGGTTAGCCCGAAATGGTAAGGAATGGGGTTCTGGGAGGGCTATGATAGTAGAATTACGTAGGGACCATAAGGGAATACTTTTATTAGTAAGTATTCCGACCCCTGTATTGGTGGTTTTTCCTCTCCTGGCGTCCAGGGTTTCCAGCTCCGAGGGGGCTTCAAGCATAATCTTGTTTAGGGTTTGGGGGTCTGGGATGTGGATCTTGGGGTTTAGGGCCCAGAGTTCAGGGTTTCTTCCCAGCTTCCTGGGCAACCCATGTCGATGGGATTCGATGCTCTCCTCGACGAGTTGCTTCTGGATAGGGTCTAGGGCCAAGGCTCTAGGCTTCAGGGTTTAGGTTTTTTAGGGCCCGGCAGCCTTCAGAGGCCTGGATGTAAAAGGGCTTAGGATATGCAGGAAGCCAATCCCCAAGCCCACTCGAACCCCTAGACCTTGCGGGCTTGGCGTTTAGGACGTAAGGGTCCAGTGCATGAAATCACCTGAACAACCTCACAGGCAAGCTACCAAGGGAGCCCTGAAGCAAAAGAAGGGTCCAGTGCCCAGGTTGTAGGTCATCAAGACACAGCTGTTTACCCTAAGCCTAAACCCTGCAGGCTAAGCCCCAAACCGTGGAACTCAGGTTTTGTTTCATCGGGCTCCACCTCATTCAATGACTTGATCCTTTGTTTTACAGCCTGGATCCCAAAATAATCATTAGTTAATAGTATTTTTGCATCAGTATTATCATAATTATTTGTTTCTGTAAATATTTCCTTGTACATCTGCTGGCGAGAGAGAGTGGGGTCCACGCAGGTCTCTTGCGCACAGCACCTCGGTCGGGAGCACGAGGATGTGATCGAGGAACCAGCATGGGCTATTAGGCCTTATAATCCCCTAAACAACCCTGTAAAGGGCTTCTTAAGAGGTTATAGGGTATAATAGCCCGTGGACGGAGAGAACTGAGATGGCGTTTTTGTTGGCAACCTGGGGGGCGGGGGGGTGGGGGGGGGGTTGGGGGGGGTTCGGCTGTTCTGGAACGAGTTCCTCTTGGATGTTTGCTGTGTTGGCGCTTTTCTGGGCTTCAAGGGGGTTAAAGACGTATGGGGGGGGGGGGGGGGGGCCTTGGAAAGCGAAGGCATGGATTTGCAGGCTATTTTCGTGGTAGGCTCTGTCTGGGGTCGATGGTTCTGGTCCTAAACCCCAACTCATTCTATCATCTCTCTATTAGGTTTAGGGCTTAGGCATGTAGATCAGGAGGCGCCTGGCACCTTGCGCGCCCAAGGTTTAGGGTTTAGGATGTATGTAGGTTTAGGGTTTAGAATTAGGATTTAGGGTCTAGGGTTCAGGGTTCAGGGTTGGGGCTTGGGCTTCAATTCTGGGGTTTAGCTATCATTTGTGCTTTTAGAGTATGGGTGATCTGGAACCTGAAGCCGTAAACCCTAGCCCTAAACCTAAACCCTCAACCCTCAACCCTAAACCCTAACCCCGAACCCCTAAACCCTAAACCCTAAACCCTAGCCCTAAACCCTAAACCCTAAACCTTGGCCAGGGCTTGCTCCGAAAGTTTGCAGATCCAAACCAGGTCGATCGTCGATGTCCCAGTTGCTCTCTCCCGTGCTTTAGGGTTCGGGTTTCGGGTTTAGGGTTTGGGGTTCAGGGTTTAGGGTAGGCGGGTGTCTGGCAGTCAGCAAGTCCAGCTTCAAAAGGGTTGGGTTTGGGGGTTTTTCAGGCTTGAGGGTTTAGGGTATAGGAGTTTTACAACTTCTTCGTAGGACTTCGGCATGTTGGTGTGTTTTTCCTTGCGCCTTTGGATGTATATTTATGTGAGCTTCTTTCTGCGAGACAGAGAGAGGGAGAGGGAGAGAGAGAGAGAGAGTGAGAGGAGAACAAGACTAAGAAGAAAGGAAGAATCAGAATAATCACAGTAATTATAATCAGAATAATAATAAGAAGACGAAGAAGACGAAGATGAAAAAGAGAATGAATGCACCCAATCCTGCCGAAATGGCACTGTGTTTTTGGGGCTTAACCCTGAACCCCAAACACCAAACCCTTAACCCCTAAGGTGAGGGCCAGCACCCCAAACGGGAAGGCTCCAAGACGACCTGAGCCCAGGTCCAAAACTGTACACGAGTGAAAGTGGCGGTTTAGGGTTTAGGGTTTAGGGTTTAGGGTTTAGGGTTTAGGGTTTAGGGTTTAGGGTTTAGGGTTTAGGGTTTAGGGTTTAGGGTGTCGTTTTGTGCCGTCTTACATGCACGGCCAGCTTTCCCTTGCCAAGATTTCGAGTTCAGGTTTTAGGGTTTTGAGGTCAAGATCTAGGGATGTAGAGTTTTGGACAAGGCTTTGCAAACTCCTACAGGGAACCTTCAGGTGCGTTTTTAGGCCCCCATGTGTTTCCAAAAAGTAGGGTGCCCCGTTTTACCCCCAGAATCCCCCAGATATTGTAGAATCACCTGAAAAGGACCGCGCGAATTGAGGCTAAACAACAAAACCCTAAGCCCTATAAACTTCAACCTCTACATAGCCTACAACCCTAAACCCTAAACCCTAAATTGGGATTGTCGGAAGCCCCAGCGGAGGTCTGGGTAACACGGTGCTGTGGCACGCCGCCTCGAAATGCGAAGTCGGCTGCATGGCAAGGCGAAGCTCGCTGATTTCCCTAAACCCAAAGATTAAACCCTAAACCCTAAACCCTAAACCCCCTATTGAAACCTTAAAAAACAGGGTGCCTGGAGTCCAGCATGTCGTAGGCAAGGAACTCAGCTTAGGGTCTAGGGCTTAGGGGTCAGGCGAAACGCAAGAATAGGGGTCGGAAAAAATCACGCATAGCATTCCTTCATAGTCCCTTATACTAGTACCCCCCCCCCCCCCCAACACCCTATTCTTACTTTACAGGCCCTTAGATTAAGTTTTAAACATCTTTGGGGCCCTTACGCAAGCGCCGAGGAATTCTCTCCGAATAAACAAAGCCAGGCTTAGGTCTTCGGTTTTTTGGGAGGAAGTCTTAGTTTCTGTTGTCATGGTTTAGGGCTTCAGAGGGTTTGAGGGCCAACCTAGTGTCATAACAAAAGCATGAATACGACATAAGTAATATACACACATAGGTGTATATATATACACATACACACATACATATATATATATATATATGCATTTATGTATATATATACATATATATATACACACATACTACCACATACATGCACAAGTACATATGCTTTTGCGCCTCCTTTAGTATTGGCAAAAAAGGCAGTGCGCTCACTATACTTCTGCCGACTCAGATATCAAGGATTTGACCCCGAACCCTAAACCCTAAACCCCTTTGGGGTTTAGGGTTCTCTTCAGGCTTCTCGAGCATGGTGGCAGCGCTTCGCGTGCCGGCCAGCACATGGACCCGCTTTCGGTCCTAGTTGGTATTCCCTAAGATCGTAAGATTCCATGCGCCTCAAAAAGCTTGTGCACACCCCTAAACCCTAAACCCTAAACCCCAAATCCTAAAGGGGTTGCGAGATGCATAACAGGGGGCCATTTGCCCTCCCACGTAAGTTTACATAGGCAGGGGCCGAAGATCATCCGGTTAAAGAACAACCATTCTAAACCCTAAACCCCAAACCCTAAACCCTAAACCCCGCAGTGCTGCGAAGGTCCACCCGAAACGTTTAGGGTGTAGGGTTTAGGGTCTAGGGTTTAGGGAAACCTTTGTCCTGTCGGTATCATCATTGTTGCGCGAATGGTCGGGCTTTCGCTTGCAATGGTTTGGGGTTTAGGGTGTAGGGTTTAGGGTTTAGGGTTTAGGGTTTAGGGTTTTCCCGAGGACTTGTATCCTAAATCCCTGCAGCACGGCACAGTCAACTTGGCCAACCCCCACAGCCGCACACCCGAAATGTCTACCAGCCCTAAACCCTAAACCCTAAACCCTAAACCCTAAACCCTAAACCCTAAACCCTAAACCCTAAACCCTAAACCCTGAGCAAACCCAAGCTGCCACAACCCCAAGCACTAAAACTGCAACCCAAACCCCTCGAAGTCTCCCTAAACCGCTAAACCCCTAAACCCTAAACCCCTAAGCCCTAATCTCCAGAAGCTCATAAGCCGATATCGCCGCTCGGAACATGGTTCCGCTGCTCTCTCAGATTCAGTTCAAAGCCGATCCAGCAGTGCTTGGGGTTTAGGGTTTAGGGTTTAGGGTTTAGGGTTTAGGGTTTAGGGTTTAGGGTTTAGGGTTTAGGGTTTAGGGTTTAGGGTTTAGGGTTTAGGGGAGCTCATGCAGCTTGCACGCGCCCTAAACCCTCAACCCCTAATTTTCCAAACAGTATGGGTAAAACTGCAAGAAGATGCTGAAAAGGTTGCTCTGGCATTGGAACGGTACGTCTGGCAGTCGCTAAGTTGTCCTCTAAGGTCATTTTTTAAAGAAGTTTGGGGTTTAAGGTTTTGGGTTTATCAGGTTCAGGGTTCATAGGTTGTAGGTTTTAGGGTTTAGGGTTCATAAGGCTTATACGGTTTAGCACGCCTCGGGCTTCAGCTCAAACCGTCCAGCACCTGCAAACGCAAAGCGCATAGGCGTAGACACTAGGACTAAACCCTAAACCCTAAACCCTAAACCCTAAACCCTAAACCCTAAACCCTAAACCCTAAACCCTAAACCCTAAACCCTAAACCCTAAACCCTAAACCGACTGTGACCTTGGCTTTCTCCGACCCTCGGGCCACAGACACATGTTTCGAAAGGAAGAGGAGTTTCTGTTGGCTTCCTCGTCGCAGGGCCAGGTTTGAGCAGAGTTTTTCATGTTTCGTTGCCCTGAAGCCCTTAATTTTCCTTGCAAGGCCAGAAAGAATCATGAATATTTGCAGGGCCCCCAAACCTTAAACTTCAAACCCCAAACCCTAAGCCCTAAACCCTAAACCCTAAACCCTAAGCCCTAAACCCTAAACCCTATACCCTAAACTCCGAACCTAGCCCCAGGTTGAAGGAGCACACCGATGGCATCTCGAGCCTGGCCTTCGCGGAGGATGGCGAGCGCCTCCTCTCAGCCTCCAGTGACTCGGACCCACCCTGAGTTTAGGGTTTAGGGTTTAGGGTTTAGGGTTTAGGGTTTAGGGTTTAGGACCCAGAGGAAGCGCCCTTACTTCCTTTTTTGTTTGTAGGGTTGGTCTTGCTCTAAACCCTGAACCCTGAACCCTGAACCCTAAACCCTAAACCCTAAACCCTAAACCCTCTTTATTCCTAGGCCACTCTTGGGCCTAGGAGATGGCACCCTCCGCCTCTGGGAGCTGACGGGCGATGTCGAAAAAATCCGGGAGCTGGGTGGCTCGGTGTAGGGTTTAGGGTTTAGGGTTTAGGGTTTAGGGGTTAGGCTTTAGGGTTTAGGGTTTAGGGTTTTTCCCTTATTGGGGTTTTTAGAGGACCATAGTAGGCCCTTAAGGGACATGTTGTGCATTTTTTCCCTTATTGGGGTTTCTAGAGGATCATAGTAGGCCCTTAAGGGACATTTTGTGCATTTGTTCCCTTACTGGGTTTTAGAGGATCATGGTAGGCCCTTGAGGAACATTTTGTGTATTTTTTCCCCCTTATTGGGGTGTCTAGAGGATCACAGTAGGCCCTTAAGGGACATGTTGGGTGTTTTTTTTTTTTTTTTTGGGGGGGGGGGGGGGTTTAGAGGATCATGGTAGGCTCTTAAGGGGCATGTTTGTGTATTTCCTCCCTTTTTTTGGGGTTGTAGAGGAGCATCTTCAGGAATATGTGTTTCAGGTTTAGGGTTTAGGGTTTAGGGTTTAGGGTTTAGGGTTTAGGGTTTAGGGCCATCCTTAGGTGAGAGCTCCAAAGTGCTCCGGGGCCATCGGGGCCCGGTGTCCTGCGTCGCAATGTCGCGGGACGGCAAGCACGCGGTGTCGAGCTCCTGGGACACGACTCTCAAGTACCTGGGCAAGGTAGGGTTTAGGGTTGAGGGTTTAGGGTTTAGGGTTTAGGGTTTCATAGGGTTTTAGGGTAGTAGGCTCAATTGGGACATTTTCTGTTTTCCGTTCTTGGGTTTAAGAGTATCATCTTCAGGATTTTTTCAGAGGGTTCTAAGTGCCATTCTAGGTATTGGTCCTTGGACACTGGGAGGTGCTTGCGCACCTTCAAGGGACATGAGGGTCACGTGAACTGCGTTTCTTGGCCGTAGTTGGGTATCATTTTACATGTTTGAGGGTACTTTACGTAACCCAATAAGGAATATCAACTTAAATGCTTAAATAATTACGATCCCAACCATGAACTAGGTTTGCTTCTCCGCCGCGGATGACATGGAGTTCTTGTCTGTCTCCAGCGACCGCACGGCCAGATGCTGGGCCACCACTGGCTCAGAGCTCGGGCGGTTGAAGGATCCGGACTGTGCCTGTTGCCATGACGACTCTATATCACCCTTGAGACTCATGTTTTCTTTTTGTTTATATAACAACCCAAGAGGACATTACAAAATTATTATTTTTAATTAAGGTTCTAAGGGGAGTATAGGACTGGATCACAGCAGTCGCTCATGTCCCCGGCGACTTCACCACGAAGAAGGCCGTGACCTGCGGATGGGATCGGCAAATACGTGTGTGGGATTCGGGCGCAAGGACGATTCTGTCAGTCCCTTGGAAGCCCAGCGGTGCCCTTTTAGAGTTTAGGGTTTAGGGTTTAGGGTTTAGGGTTTTTTTTTGCCCTGTTGTGGTTCAAGGTTCCCTTCTAAAGTTGCCAACCACAAATTAGGGTACCCGGATTAGAAGATGGTTCCTGGAATACCGCAGGTCCTGCCGTGTATGCATACCGCAGCGGTCCACGCCGTGGAGATTTCGCCGGATGGCAGCTTGCTGGCATCGGGCGGACGCGACGGTACCGTGCTCCTCTGGGATGTCCAAGAGACCAAGTTGTTGCTTGCCCTGGAGGTCGGCCACTGCGTGAATGCTCTGGCTTCTAGGATGCCCAGTCCTACCCTTTTTCCCTTTTTGGTAGGTGTAGGGTTCCCTTAGAACAACCCCTTTGAAGCAAAAAAGGGGGCACCCTTTTGAATCCTAGGAGACTGGGCAACCTAGGTTTACAACCCCATGCAATACTGGCTGGCTGTGGCCACAGATGAGGGCGTTGAAGTTTGGGAGTTGGAGCAGAAGAGTCGGATGGCTTCTTGGTGGCCCTGTGGTAACCCTTCTGCCCTCTTTCTTTGCTTTACGGCTCCCTTATAAGAAGTGGCCAAACCTAAACGGATACCTTTATCAAAATATGGCTACTGGGCTACGGTTTAGGGTTTAGGGTTTAGGGTTTAGGGTTTAGGGTTTAGGGTTTAGGGTTTAGGGTTTAGGGTTTAGGGTTTAGGGTCCCTAAACCCTAAACCCTAAACCCTAAACCAAGGCCTTGCTCACCCCTGGACCGGCAGCCGCGGGATCTATCGCCACCACGCTAAGGTGGACGCCGCAGGGCAAATCTCTCTTGGTGGGATACTCCACTGGCGTCGTCGAGGTCTACAAGCAGCGCGACTAGTGACCAGAGTCATTTATGGCAGATACAGGTAGGGTCAGGTAGAGTGAGTCTGAGTCTTCGCCGCGTGTTCGTAACTCTTCCGGCTGGGACACCTCGTTCTTTCATCTTGGAAATGAGCGCTGCCCAGCGTTGCTACTGAGCTCGCGCCGCCTGCAAAACTCGAAAGGTTGCTACGACGCCCAACACCCCAAGTGTTGAAGCGCATGGGCTTGGGAAGCCATAAGCAGCGAGAACGGAAGTGACACTTCTGGGACCCTAACCCTAGACCCCAAACCCTAAACCCTAAAACCCAAACCCGGCTTGGCCGTAACCCCATATGCCCCATATGTCGAGAGGACTCGCCCATCCTGGCCGCAGCGCGCGCCCGGAAGCTGCAGGCGATGAGCTCAGGGCTTAGGGTTTAGGGTTTAGGGTTTAGGATTTAGGATTTAGGATAGAAGGGACCCTTGGGGACTTTTGCATGGGCTTTAGGGGTTTCTACACGATTTGGGGTATAGGGTTTCGGGTTGAGGGTTTAGGGTGTACCCTAAACCCTAAACCTTAAACCCGAAACCCTAAACCCTAAACCCCATATAAACCCCAAAACCTGTGTAGGTGTAGGGGGTTGAGAGTGGAGAGTTTTGAGGTGGATCCGGCAGTCACTAGGGTTTTATGTTTAGGGTTTAGGGTTTAGGGTTAGGGTAGACAATTGGGATGCAAGAAGCGGCAAGAGGGGAGTTCGCCTCAAGGCAGTAAGTAGCTTATATGCCGTTTTTTTAGGGTTTGGGGTTTACCCTAAACCTTAAACGCTAAACCCTAAACCCTAAACCCTTTATAGGGTTAAGCAGCACCAGAAGAAGGCAAGAAGGAGCTGAAGTAACCAACCCAAAAAAGGGTGCCCTTATTATAATATGGTTACTGGGCTACAAAGTAGAGGCCACAAAAACACTCACAGGCCCAAAGCCTAAACCCTGAACTGTACAGGTGCTGCGCTTGCTTATGCTGGGCGAGATTGGCGGTGATAATACCGGCGTGGAAAATGAGGCCGGGGGGGGGGGGTCTAGTTATCCAAGTCTGGGTCAGTAGTACATGGCCCTTCTGTGTTTGCGTTGGCGGCCAGAGTTTCTTACTTGGCCAATGGTAGAACTTAAAACTTGTTGGGATTAAACCCTAAACCCTAAGCCCTAAGCCCTACACCCTAAACCCTTATTTAGTAGGAACACCAATATCTACCTATTCCGTGGGCTGCATGATCATGTGTTTCCCTCTGCCACCCCGCTCCCCCCCCCCCCCCTTCCTAGGTCCCCCCCCCCTCCTAGGTCCCCCCCCCCCCACAATCTAATGCTATTTAGGGATACTTGAGCCGAATTAAGGTTATATTGAGGGGGGAACCTAGGGGGTAGAGAGGGGGTAGTAAACCCCAGACACCAGGGGGAGGGGTAGCAGCGAAACCCATGATCATGATCTTGAGCCCAGCTCAAAAGGAGACCGCTCTGCACTCCCAGCAACTCATTGACAAAGCGGCTGAGCTGACGGCCAAGGCTCTCTGGCGGGCTTGATATAGGGCCCGGGTTTAGGATTCAGGGTTTAGGGTTTAGGGTTTAGGGCTACTAGGACCCAGGGTAGGCCCTGCTTTCCTTTTTTTGGGGTCGGTTCCCTTGGCCCTTTAAACCAAACAGGGCAGCCCTTTGCTATATTTAGGCTGCTCCTGGGTCTCGTATCAGGGTTTAGGGCCTACCGATCTGTGAAGTTCTTCATGGGACTCTCAAAGGGCTGTGCCGTTGGCTTGGGCACCCTTTTGTTAAGATCTCTCAAGAAATACAAGGGCCATATTCAGGAAGCCTCTTTGGGATACTTGGCATCCCATGATAAGTGTAGTTATAGCCCACATACAAGCCCCTTAAGGACCCTAATAGGGTTAGAATCGGGTCATAAGCGCAGTTATAATTGGGTTACTACCCCTAAACCCTAAACCCTAAACCCTAAGCCCTAGGTACCATGAACCTCCAAGTAGCGGTTTGGGTCTACGTGTGAAGAGGGGCCATGCCGATGGCTTGGAAAGTTCGCGAGAAGCCCTAAACCTTGGGATGGTTTAGGGTTTAGGGTTTAGGGTTTAGGGTTTAGGGTTTGGGGTTTAGGGTTTAGGGTTTAGGGTTTGTGGGATTAGGGTTTAAGGTTTAGGGTTCCCCTTCTTTGCAGGCCTGAATAGCGATCATAGTACCCCCCCTGTTCTAATCCCCATGTCAGTTTCAGGGGAACATCCCAACCCTAACCCCCAAGACCCCAAACACTAGACTTTACGCGAATCTCAGATTCGGGGTGAGGTTCGCTGTTTAGGGTTTAGGGTTTAGGGTTTGGGGTTTAGGGTTTAGGGTTTAGGGTTTAGGGACGGACTTGGGGGGTGGAGTGGTTCAGGGCCATGCAGGTGGGGGGGGGGTGGGGGGGGGGGGGGGGGGGGGCGCAGGGTCGCTTCTCAACCTCCCGAGGTCTTAAGGGGGTTTAGGGTTTAGGGTCTAGGGTTTAGGGTTTAGGGTTTAGCCTCACACTCAAACCCTGCGGCATCCGCAAGATGTACATTGCAAGCCGCCGAACCTGCCATCGCAGGACGCGCGGGACCTTCTGCTGAAGGGTGCGAGTGTGAATTACAGGCTCCTCGCCCTGTACTTGGGAGGTTCATGGTACTTAGTAACCCAATTAGAACTGCACCTTTAGCCCTATTTGGGGGTACTTAAGGGGCTTATCTGTGGGTTGTAACTGCACTTATAATGGTTACTAAGTACCCTGAACCTCCATGCAGGGTTGAAGAGTTTTGGTGCTTAGGCTTTGGGCTTGTAGAGTTTTCTTCGGGCTTCGGGTTTGAGATTGTAACATTTCGAAAACGAGACATCCTTAATGCCCATACTGAGTGGCAACAGGTAATTTTACGGTAGGCGATTACGATGGGACCAGAGAAGGGCACCTGAGAATGTTGTGCCCGGCGGGAGGCAAGACAACCCCAAACCCTGATCTAGGTACTAATTTAGCCCTAAACCCTAAACCCTAAACCCTAAACCCTAAACCCTAAACCCTGCTTCTGACCCTCAAACCCCAAACCTGAACGGTTGCTCAACGGGCTTAGGGCTTTGGAGGGTTCGGGATGTGCCCCTTGAGCCACTTAGGGTTTAGGGTTTAGGGTTTAGGGTTTAGGGTTAGGGTTTAGGGTTTAGGGTTTAGGGTTTAGAGTTTAGGGTGTAGGGCTCCAGGAACCAAAGCCTGAAGCCCTCACCCCGACAGCCTCATCCCTAAACCCCGAGCCCTCTCGCTGAATTCATCTGAAGTCTGGCCTAAACCCTACACCCGAAAGCCTAAACGTAGGGTTTACACCCTACACCCTAAACCCTAAACTCTAAACCCTAAACCCTAAACCCTAAATCCTAAACCCTAACCCTTTTACAGATCCATGGGCCCTTAGGGTTTGACATGTGGCCGAGGAATGATCGCGGCTGGTCGCCGCTGACTGCCGCAGTGTTCCCTGCCTAAACCCAGGGTAGGGGGTTTAGGGTTTAGGGTTTAGGGTGTAGGGTTAGGGTGTAAGCCCCGCCCAATCCGTAACAAAGACCAACCAGTGCTCACCAGCCCCCTAAACCCTAAACCCTAAACCCTAAACTCTAAACCCTAAACTCTAAACCCTAAACCCTAAGCCCTAAACCCTAAACCCTAAAGCCTAAACTCTAAACCCTAAACCCTAAACCCTAAACCGCAAAGTAGTCCTCGTCAACTGTCCGCGGCTTTACTCAAGAGCTATCATACGTACCTGAAGGCTCTAACGTGGCTCTTCTTAGGGGGGTTTTCTAAAGGGGATGATAGAAAGCTACCCTAAAACAACTACAGTAGGTCCCACATCGGAGCCTTTGGTACGATCCATGCCGCGGCCCTTAGTTCCACAAGCCCTCACCTTAGGGAGACGAAGGGCTCCGGCCAGCTCCCGAAAGCGTTCGTGCCCTTAGAAGTGGGCATAGGGTTTAGGGTTTAGGGTTTAGCATGCAAAAACCTCATGTAATATTTTTTTGGACTTACAGCAGGGCTATGTCAGGGTACTTCGAAGCCTTATCTCCCTAAGGGTGATTCAGAACTCCTGGCCTCTTAAGGCTCCATTTAAGAAGCATGGTCTCCTGAGGCCGAACGTCCCACACCCCAAAAGCCTTGAACCCTAAACCCTAAACACCAAAAGCCTTGAAGCCCTAAACAGGCAGCAGCTCCCCGAACCGCAAGCCCTAATCCAGTAACGTGTAGGGTTTAGGGTTTAGGGTTTAGGGTTTAGGGTTTAGGGTTTAGGGTTTAGGGTTTAGGGTTTAGGGTTTAGGGTTTAGGGGTTTAGGGTATCACATTGCCTTGAGCATCACCTCGTGCCTCAATGTGGGCCAAGTGGAAGACTAGGGACCGTGTGGCTGTCTGGCCCGAGTCTGAGCGACGAAGCCCTAAACCGTAGAAGCAACTATGCTCTATGGGGGGGGGGGGGGGTTTCCGACACTAGCGGTATCCTTTTTGGGGGTTCCTATAATAAGGGTTATAGTATTTGGGAAAAATAGTAGGGGTTCCCCTGTTTTGGGAAATGGGCCTATAAGCTTTGAGGTTCTGGAACAACCACGAGTATGTGGAGTGCCTCGTCAAGCCCGGAGCCTATTGCAGCAATTCTGCGGGGGGGGGGGGGGGTTTAGGGTTTAGGGTTTAGGGTTTAGGGTTTAGGGTTTAGGGTTTAGGGTTTAGGGTTTAGGGTTTAGGGTTTAGGGTTTAGGGTTTAGGGTTTAGGGTTTAGGGTTTAGGGTTTAGGGTTTAGGGTTTCGGTTTTGCACAAAGGGCTGCAGACCGAATCATCTACGGCTTAGGGCGTAGCCTGCTCTACCTCAAGTAGAACAACCCTAAACCCTAAACCCTAAACCCTAAAAAGGGGGGGTAGTAGGGAAACCCATGAGGGTTGTCATTTTTGTGAGGAAGGGAATTCTTGGAACGCAAGACTCCATCCGCCCCCTCGCTTCAGCGTGGGATCTCCGGGCTTGCGGTGAACGAGTCTCAGCAGGAAGTGTGCCAGGGCGTGGGGGGGGAAACAATTTAGGGTTTAGAGCCTCAACACGCGCTCAGAAACCCAAACGCTATGCTACTATTTGCATAAAAAGCTCCCCCCTAAACCCTAAACCCTAGACTCCTTCAGGGCTCTGTCGGGCCCTGACAGCCCCATGAGAACATCTTGCGAGCTCTGTGGGCTCCTGGCGCTGTAAACATGTGGGGGTTTCCGCAAGGGGGGGGGGGCTTTAAATCGGGTGTAGGGTTTAGGGTTTAGGGTTTGCAAGCCACCAGCCTGTAATATCCTTGCTGCTTGTCTCATGTTTCAGAAGTCCTCATTCCGACTGCAAATCAGTCACATTCACATTCACATTCGTACCGATGCTTTCAGTTTGGATATGTCTCCCCGGGCACGAGTCTTGGAGAGAAGTGTCCATCTTTCAGTGTGCCTCAGTCCATGCTTCAAAAAGGGTTTAGAGTTTAGGATTTAGAGTTGTTACCTTCGTCAACGGTTCTGACGCTCAGGGTTTAATTACAGTGTTATGGGTGGGTATACTACTAGGGGATTGCTATTAAACAAATACCCATTGAGTTCCCTTCGCGGGTTTTGCGAATCTCAACCCAAGGAAGTGAGTTCAGGGGGCGAAAGGAGAGACCCCTCTAAGGGACCTGAGGGGTAATGGAGGGGCTACTTAGGTAAAGAGGGGAGTACGATTCAGGGTCCCTCCTAGGGGGTCCCTAAGGGGTTTAGGGGTTTAGGGTTAGGGTTTCGGGTTTAGGGTTTAGGGTTTAGGGTTTAGGGTTTAGGGTTTACGGTTTAGGGTTTAGGGTTTAGGGAGAAATCCCCTAATATGGCTTGCTGAGCAGGCTTCCTCACAAGTCGACCCGCACGGCGCTGCAGGTAGTGCACTGAGGGTCTCAGGTTTTGGGCGTGTTGTCTGTTGAGGAACTCAAAACGAGTTATCAGCATAAAGACACCAGACTATCTGCCGTGTATACGTAAAAATCTACACACACATGTATAGATATGTATATATACTCACCGCTTCAGTTCCTTGAGAGGGATTCGGTTTAGAGGTGCATCTGGCGCAGAGGGGGGGGGGGGATTCTACGGCTTCACTGGGGGGTTGACGGGGATCTACTCCTCTGATCCAAGACCCGCGTTCTTATATGTAGAGTCCTATACGCAGCCTAATTAACCTTGAGCTGGCCCTGGCTTGCGCGTCTCGCCCCGCCAAGCCTCGGTGGGGGGGGGGGGGGGTGCTGTTGGAGAGGTAGGATATAAGCTTTACATTGCAATGATTCTGTAGGGGGCGCACTTATATTCAAGCTTTTTATGAGATCTATGGTAAGATGCAGAGTCGCACTGAGCTCTACAGTCTTCAGCCAGGCAGGTGACAAGCGGCCCCAAAACAACCATGACCTTAAAGCCAGCCCTCAAGCCTAAACCCGAAGCCCTAAGCCCTAACCCCAAGCCCTGAGCCCTAAACACTAACCCTAAACCCTAAACCCTAAACCCTAAACCCTGTAACCCCTAGACCCTTTAAACTTACATTCCAAAGCTGCCATGAGAGGGGTTCTCTGTGTTTCGTAAGAAAAGGGTCAGGGAACCTGAAGTCATACCTGAGCCCTCTGCCCTTGACCGTGGCCCTAAACCCTAAACCCTAAACCCTAAACCCTAAACCCTAAACCCTAAACCCCCTAAACCCTCAAGGGTCTAGCGTCCAGGGTTTACGGTTTAGAGCTTAGGGTTTGGGGCTTAGGATTTCGGGTTTATAGTGCTCCCAGTGAGTTGTTTCCAGGCACGAGTACCAGTTCCTGGTTCAAAAAAAGAGGAACTTTAGATCCCCAAACCGCAAGAAGCCCTCAGCCCCAAACTCTCAACCAGGCAGACTTGCCTGACTCTCGCGGCCGCACGGCCCTGCATGTGGCCGCACGGAAGGGCCTCACGGACCCATGAGGGGTGGGGGGGGGGGAGAGTTGGGTTTAGGGTTTAGGGTTTTTTTCTCTGGTTTTGCGGGTCTGGCTTTGCTTGTTGTGGGCAGGGGAGGGCATGTTGTTGAGGGAATTTTGAGAAGGGTTTAAGGCTTATTAGAGCTCGGGGTGGGTTGAAGTAGCCTTTAGCCGCGCGGCCTAGTTTGGGTCTTCAGGATCGTCGCAGTTGACATGCTCAAAGAAATGCACGCTACCCCCGCACCTGCCCTAAAGCCAAAACCCTAAACCGACATGTTGCCTTGCAGGAGTTGGTGCCTTTGATCCTGGGAAGCCGGGCAAATCCTGATGCTCGCGACAGTGATGGATGGACTGCCACGGGGATGCGGGGTGTCGCCGTACTTTGCCTTCTCAGAAGTTGTGAGTTGTCACCACGTGCATCCGTGTTAGCGGTACGGTGTTGTGTGGTTCGCAGGGCGTTTGAGGGACGAAGGCCAAGTAGTGCACAAAGCGCGGGGAGAGAGAGAGAGAGAGAGAGACACAGAGACAGAGACAGGAAAAAAGAACGGCAACAACAAAAAGAAAAATAAGAAGAAGCATCGCATTCCTAAGACCCGAGCCCGAAGCCAGGCGCGTTCCCAAACCTCAAGGGTGCATGTGCCAAAATAGGGAACACTTCTCACAGTACCTCCTGTATATATAGAGACTTCTCTACTATTTGCTTAAAGAACCCCAAAAGAACAAAGACACAGGACTGCACTCCATCACGCCGTCTTCAACGGCCATTCCGAGACAGCCCGGGCGCCTACGCATTCTTAACTACTAATTGCTTAAGAACCCCCCCCCAAAAAAAAACAAAAAATATATATATATATATATATATAAGAATGAACATGAAATAAAATATCATGTTCCTTTTAAGGTGTCATACAGGGATTCTTATTTCTTGTAAATTTTGGTGGTTCTTAAGCAAATAGTAGTAAACCAGCGTCAACGGCCTCAACGCACGCAGCGCCAGTATGGTATGGATGGGTTACTAGGTAGGCCCTTGGGATAGTCTATGTCTCCCTTATTGGGTTGAAGAGGATCCTTGTTAGGAGTCTTTGTCAGAGGGTTTCAAGCGCAATCCCAGAATTCAGGCGTTGGATGTGCGAGGCATTGGGTTGAGAAAGAGTTTAGGGTTCGGGTAGTTTAGGGTTTAGGGTTTAGGGTTTAGGGTTTAGGGTTTAGGGTTTAGGGTTCAGGGATGTTCATGGAAGTGACCCAATTCTTGCCTGCCCTGCGGGAGTCTGAGCATCGAAGCCCTCAGGACCCTACCCTAAACCCTAAACCCTAAACCCTAAACCCTGAACAGTTCTCCAAATGATGGTCCCAGTTTTGAGTGCCCTAAAAATATAGTGGCCGGCGTAGAATAGCAACCCCCCCCCCCCCCACTAGGGACCAGAATAAGAGGAGTTACCATGTACCCTTCAACCGGTACCCCAAGCCCCAACCCTGAACACCGACTCCGAAACCCTGGGTGGTGGCTGTCCTTCAGCGTTTAGGGTTTAGGATTTAGGGTTTAGAGGGTACTTTGCGAAGTCGTTCATAAAGCGATGCCTCGTGTTAGGGCGGGCAAAGACTTCTGCATACGCTCGTGCTGCTGAAAGCGCCCGTGTACCTCCCATGGAAAGTAGGCTGTCGTTCAGCTAGGTGGGACCCTCAACCCCGCAAGAACAATTCCCCCAGCAAAGCCCTACGCATGCCCTGCAACCCTAAACCCTACAACCCTATAAACCCAAAACCCTGCAACCCTATAAACCCTATAAACCCTACAACCCTATAAACCCTAAACCCTACAACCCTATAAACCCAAAATCCTACAAGTGCGGCAGACCCTGCAAGTAGCGGGCCTTTCGACGTCAAGCGATCGTGGGGTTTGCCTAGAGGTTTTTGGGGGTTGGTGGGTTGCTCAGACGGTGCATTTGATCTCTGGAAGGCCTGTGACGGGTACCCCTTTCCGATGCTGATGCTTGAGGGTTTAAGGTTTAGGGTTTAGGGTTTGGGGTGTTTAGCTGAGGTCATGAAGCTCCTGGATGGACAGGCTGATCCCAAGGCAGCTGGGGTAGGGGGCGGAGGGTTTAGGGCTTACATGTTGGGGTTCAGGGTTTCGGGTTTAGAGGTTTTTAGGGTTTAGAGGTTTAGGGTTTAGGGTTTAGGGTTTAGGGTTTAGGGTTTAGGGTTTAGGGGTTTCGCAGGGCCCCTTTAGAGTCTTGATGCACCTTTTGAGGCTTATAGGGGCTGAGGACTCCAAGGGGTTTAGGGTTTAGGGTTTAGGGTTTAGGGTTTGGGGTTTGGGGTTTGGGGTTTGGGGTTTGGGGTTTAAGGTTAGGGCTTCTAGGGTTTAGGGCGTAGGGTTACTCGGATTACTACTGGTTTAGGGTTTCGGGTTTCGGGTTTCGGCTGCAAAGAGATGGGAGATTGCATTTAGCCTTTAAGGCGCCGTTGCTGGAGCCGTCGGTGACTGTTTTGGGCATTTCCACAGAAGGAGGGTTCGCTTGCCGCTTATTATCGCGGCCCCAAAGCACGAAAATCCTCCTTGCCGGAACCGCGACAAGGGCCTCGCAAAACCCTAAACCCTAAACAGAGAGCGCGTGCCAAACCCTGTCCAGAAAGTACCCAGAGTTTAGGGTTTAGGGTTTAGGTTTTAGGGTTTAGGGTTTAGGGTTTAGGGGAGTTTCGGACACCACCATTTGGCACCCGCCCCTTCTCCTTGCTGAGTTCTGGCCGGGTGCAGGGCATATCCAAGGCCTTCTTGGGGTTTAGGGTTTAGGGTTTAGGGTTTAGGGTTTAGGGTTTAGGGTTTAGGGAGAAGGGTTTAGGGTTTAGGGTTTAGGGTTTAGGGTTTAGGGCCTCAAGGTTTTGGGTTTAGGGCCTCGCGGTTGATATGGCGGAGTAGGGCCGCTCCTTTGCAACCCTAGAATTATTCACTTGGTACCCTAAACCCTAAACCCTAAACCCTATACCTTAAACCCTAAAGCAAGGCCCCCCTTCAGTATGTGCTTGCGCTACCGCTGCTTGCAAAAGATGCTAGAAGACCCAGAAAGGCCCTGAATCCTGTAAACTGTAAGCCCGGTTGGATGTCCCTGGAGCTGCCTCACAGGGTTGCAGCTGCGGATCCGTGGAGCATTCGTAAACCGAAGCTTTTTAAGCTTCAGTTGCGGGGCCTTCCTCTTCACATCCCTCACGTGACACGATCAAAAGGGTCCAGGATTTCGTGCAGGCCCTTTGCCAGAACAGTGTCTGGTCACTTGCTTGCTTCTAGACACTATCGTGTCCAAGCCCGAACGTACCCAAACCCTACGCAAACCCTGAACCCTAAACCCTCAACACAAAACCCTAAACCCTAAACCCTAAACCCTAAACCCTCAACACAAGACCCTAAACCCTAAACCCTAATCCCTAGCCCCTAAACCCTAAACCCTAAACCCTAAACCCTAAACCCCAAACCCCAAACCCTAAACCCTAAACCCTAAACCCTAAACCCTAAACCCTAAACCCTAAACCCTCTACCCTAACCCCTAAACCCTAAACCCTAAACCCTAAACCCTAAACCCTAAACCCTAAACCCTAAACCCTAAACCCTAAACCCTAAACCCTAAACCCTAGCCCTAAACCCTAAACCCTTTCCCAACAATCTTGCAATCCTTTGCCTTGTTCATGCGCGCGGCGGCATCTCGGGCCGGGGCCTCTGCGATCTTCATGCTTAGTGCTTGGTGGTCCAGTGGTACCCTTTACCCTTTTTTTGGTTTAGGGTTTAGGGTTTAGGGTTTAGGGTTTAGGGTTTAGGGTTTAGGGTTTACTAAACCCTAATAGGGTTTAGGTTTTTTTTTGGTTCTGGCTTCCCTTATAAAGTAGCCAACCCAAAAAAAGGGTGCCCTCATTGTAATATGGCTACTGGGCCACCAAGTGTGTCGTGCACCAATGGATTTGTTATTGGTGGATGGGGTGGGGTGGGGGGCTGCTTTTGAGATGAGGGAGGGCCCAGGGTTTCGGGTTTAGGGTTTAGGGCTTTGGGTTTAGGGTTTAGGGTTTAGGTTTAGGGTTTAGGGTTCAGGGTTTAGGGTTTAGGGTTTAGGGTTTAGGGTTTAGGGTTTAGAGTTTAGGGTTTGGGGTTTTTAGTTTTTAGGGTTTAGGGTTTAGGGTTTAGGCCCTTTGCAGGCCCCTTTTTGTCGTTGCTCCAGGTGATCAGAGTGAAGGCCTTGCCCTGCTAACCTCTTAGGGCTTTAACTTGGCTCTTGGGACTTTAACCTTTTGGGCTTCTGAAGCAACTACAAGAAGGAGCCGAGAAGTTAAACTTTCAGAAGTCAGCCAAGTCACGAAGCCGTTGAGTGGCATGAAGCCTTTCAGCTTCCTTGAAGGCAGGGGGCACTCCGAATAGCAGCTACAGAGGATGTTCAAAGCAATCGTACAAGAAGGAGTCACCAGGCCCCAAACAGGCTTCGTCCGAAGTTTTAGGCCGGGGGAGGTCTACTTCTTTAGGGTTTTGGGTTTAGGGTTCTTCCTGGGCAGTATTTCCGATGCCTCAACCCAAGCGCTAAACCGACTGAACCCCAAAACATTGTCCTAAAGTCCCCCCATACCCTAACCCCCACAGCCCTAAAGAAACCATGCTCAACCTCGTGCCGTGCTGCCCACGTTTCAAACTTCATGTTGTGGACTACTCCGGACCCAATGACCAAGGGTGCCCCGATGTAAGCATTTCGCAAAATAAAGGTACCCCTTAATGTAACTCCAAATACCGTAGTCCTCATCCTATTTTCAGAAACCCCCATGTAAGCGACATGTCAAGGAATAGCGTGCTGGTTCCTTGCAACAGTCGCAGGTAGACTTAGGCTTCCTTGTTCTTGGTAGCCCAGTGGTACCCGGTACCACTGCTGGTACCCTTTACCTTTGTTGTTTTTGGTTCTGGGTTCCTGTATAAGAGCAACCAACCTCCTTGCTTTATGTATGGAATGTATGGTTACTGGGCTACCAAGCATGAGGCGCCGAGTCTCAGTAGGTAGACTTTCACCTTCTTTTTGCCCGTTTGACAAGCTCCATGTCCTTGGACAAGTCCGCCCAGTAACCTAAACTCAAGGCCTAGGCCGGCCCCCTACAGTTGGGAGGGGGCGCCTAAGCCCCTCGACCTCGATGGCCCAAGCTCGGAAGTCGGTAGCACCCACGTTCTCCTTGGGACCAGTACTGGTCCCTTATTAAACCCTAAACCCTAAACCCTAAAGTCTAAACCTGGAGCTCCAAGCTCTGTGAGGCCCGGCCTCGGCTTCCTGCGACCTTCCCCCCCCTAACCCCCCGCCCCCCCCTCCTGGCCTTCCTGAACTTTTCCCTAAACCCTAAACCCTAAACCCTAAACCCTAAACCCTAAACCCTAAACCCTAAACCTCTCTGAATCCTGACCCCCCTTGCCCTTCTTGGCTGATAAGTTTTTACAAGTGGACTTTTGTCTGAGCCTAAAAAGGAATAGGTTTGGGTGGCTTTGCCACCTTGGACGGCGTGGGGTGGGAGAAAAGTGTTAGATGGCCCTCCACAATCGGGCCAAAGCTGCTCTTCGCACCTCACGAAGCTTTCGAGCTTGGTCCGAAACCGAACCTTCACAGCAATCTACGCCCTATCACAGCAAACCCTAAACCCTAAACCCTAAACCCTAAACCCTAAACCCTAGACCCTAAACCCTAAACCCTAGAGCTAGAGAATCAGGCTTGGGCTTAACATGGCTTCTTAACGGGTTGAGACCGAGTTCTGACGCAAGCCATCTCAGACACCCATCCCCTCTATAGTATACACGGGAGCCTCAAAGGGGATCCCATATAACTAGTAGGTCTAGGGCGCAAGTATACACTATTTAGTTTACATGGACCCTTAGGGATCAGACCAAACGAGAATACAGGGTTTAGGGTTTAGGGTTTGGGGTTGCTACCCAGGGCGATGGCACGGCCCCGGCGGGAAGGAGGCGTGCGTGGCTTCTCAGCCAAGCCCCGGGCACCCTCGGCCTGATTTCAAGCTTGAACATCTGCGAAGAGTACATCCAACCATCACGGTTTGTATGGCACTTTGAATTCTTATTAACCCCGAGCATTCCCTTGCTTGATTGACTGCCTCAGAGAACCCTCAGTGTCCATGTGGCGAAGTCTTAACTGACTGGTTCTTAGGAGGAAATGAGGGAATTCGGTACCATATATCCCCCTTCAACGGCTTATATAGGGCACCAATTTCTTCATTCCCTAAGACCTAAAACCCTAAACCCCTAAACTTTATCAGGTGCACGGACCCGGAAAGGAAGCCCAACAAGCACATCCGGCGGGAGGGGGGTGAATAGGGTTTACAGGGTTTGTAGAGTTTGTAGGGTTTATGGGACGTGATACAACCTCGAAGCTAGTAGAGGTGGAGCTTGACGATGACCCGTATCATTCCCTTCATAAACCCAAACAAAAACCTTAACCCTCTCAATCCTAAACCTTCTCAACCCAACAAACCCTAAGCCCTAAACCCTAAACCCGACGAACCCTAAGCCCCATACACCAGGTGGATCCATCCCCGACAGTGGACCTCGGTGACCTGACGCAGGGCTGCCCTTTGCTAGATGAGGCACTGGGTTTGGGGTTTAGGGGTTTAGGGGTTTAGGGGCTAAGGGCTTAGGGTTAGGGTTTAGGGTTTAGGGTTTAGGGTTTAGGGTTTAGGGTTTAGGGTTTAGGGTTTGGGGTTTGGGGTTTAGGGTTTAGGGTTTTAGGGGTTTAAGGGGGCTCAGGGTGGGCCGGCAGGTGCAGGGTGTTTAGGGAGTCGAGTGAGTCTAGATCGTTTAGGGCCAAAAGGTAGTTGAGGGAGTTTAGGGTTTAGGGTTTAGGTTTTAGGGTTTAGGGTGTGGGCTGCCGGGGAATAAGGGCGAGGCAGGCAGTGGTGAGGAGACCGGCTGCAAAAGAACAGGGTAGCAGCTTGGTTGGGGCTTTGGGTTTAGGGATGCAAGACGTCGTGTTGGGGTGTGTTTTTGGTTCGAGGTTCACGGCGAATGATCTGCTAGCATTGCAAATGCCTGCTTGGGGCCATGGTTGCCCGACAAGTGGCACAAGGGATACCCTTCATATCAGAGGTCCTTGAACCCTAAACCCTGCTTCGTCTAGGTAGAGAAAGCGGGAGAGCCATGAGCCCTAAACCTCGTGCTTCATGCAGCTCACTTGGCCACCCGAAACCCTCAATCCCACGGGAATCTACCTGGCTCACGCCGACTCAAAACCCCCCCCCCCCCAACAAAGAACTGGCACAGGTTCTCTCCTACAAACCCCAACGCAGGTTCCTTGCCAGCGGCTCTTGGAGGGATTCGACCTGAACCAGGCTGACTCTTACCAGGGAGGTGACCTTCAACACTATTGGGTGCCCACTTGTGAACCAGAAGTCCCTTCCCCTCTACTTGGAGGTTCATGGTACTTAGTAACTCATGTTCACTGTACTTATGACTGTACTTATATCCATATTAGGGACTTAAGGGGCTTATGAGTGGGTTATAAGTACAGTTATAATTAGTTACTAAGTACCATGAACCTCCAAGTAGCTAACGTGCTGCTGAGCACCCTCCCTGTAAGACCTATAAAGAAGCGTTTGCTTGTAGAACGCTCAGCCGGTAAGGGGTCGTGCCATGGTTTGGTTCCGAGGGCTTGAGCGGGCCCATGTGTTTCTGCGGCGGTTTGGGGTTTAGGGTTGAGGGGCGGTTTGAGGTTGCCAGGGGTGTATGGGCTTTACCTAAAGGCTCCAATGTAGTGCCTTTTCGGGTTAGTTATAGGGGATTCTGGTATACTACCCCAAAAAGGTACTACATAGGAGCCTCTGGGTAGTGGTATGGCTTTAAGGTTTGGAGTTCAGGGTTTATGGGGGCTCTTTTCGAAGCCCACAAGCTGAAGCAAGCACCAAGTCACGTAGGCCCGGGAGCTCTATCAGAGCCTGACGGAAGACCAGAAGGACTTCATCAGGGCTTCGTGGGTTTAGGGTTTAGGGTTTAGGGTTTAGGGTTTAGGGTTTAGGGTTTAGGGTTTAGGGTTTAGGTGCGAGGCTTTCAGGATTCCGGGCTTGACGCAAAGGGGGTTTTAGCTTCGGGTGCAGCGTCCAGGGTTCCGGCTAGCCTCCTTCGAAGAACTTTAATTAATGCATAAGCCCCAGCAACCCTAAAGTAAGCCCTTTTGAGCTTTCAGCCCAAACACCCTGAACCATTCCCTCGAACCCTAAGCCCTAAACCCGAAACCCCAAACCCTAAAACCTAAACCCTAAACCCTAAACCCTAAACCCTAAACCCGTCCCTAGACCAGGAGCAACTGGCCACGCAGGGCCTCGACCCCCGTGGCTGCTTCGAGGCCAACCTCCAGACTGGTGCAAAGGAGGGCCGTGTGCGCCTTGCCCCGGAAGTTTATTAGGCTTAGGGTTTAGGGTTTAGGGTTTAGGGTTTAGGTTTTGGGGTTTGGGGTTTCGGGTTTAGGGTTTAGGGCGTTTTCAGGTTTAAGTTTAGGGGGACCTCGTCTGAGGGGTACATCTTCAGGGGTCCGAGTATGCCTCCATGACATGCCTCAAACCTAAACCCTAAACCCTAAGCCCTAAGCCCTAAACCCTAATCCCTAGACCCTATACTACCGCTGCTGTCAAGGCCCATGACGCGTTCCCGGCGGGAAGGCGGAGTGCGAGGCTTCTCAGCAAAGCCCCGGGCTCCTCGGCCAAGATGGAAGGGTTTAGGGTTTAGGGTTTAGGGTTTGGGGTTTAGGGTTTCGGGTTAAGGGTTCGACTCAAAAACTCTTAAACCCCTCAAAGCCCTAAACCCTGTGCTACAACAGGGACACAGCTCCCGGCCTCCTCTGTCACGCGAGGTCTCACGGGTGGAATCAGCACCTTGAATTCCTTTTTTGGGCCTGGCTCAAAACACCTCATCGGTTGAGGGTTTAGGGTTTAGGGTTTTAGGGTTTAGGGTTTAGGGTTTAGGGCCTTAGGTGCTAAAGAACAGGGAACCTTTCGCCCCAAAGCGCGAGTCGGAGAAGCTCACGCCGCGATGCATTGTGCGCTGAACCTTTTGGCCTTCGTCAACCAAAACAGGTGAACCTTTACTTGGCGTGCGTCTGGCTGGCCCTTAGGACTTTAACCTTTTGGGTTTCTGCAGAAGCTACAATAAGGAGCCCAAAAGGTAAATTGCTAGGAGGGGTTCAGAAGTCAGCCAAGTTTATCCTCCCGAGAGAACTCTGGCCCCTAGAAGTGCATCCAGACTATTTCATGCCCTCCCCTGAACTGAATTAACCCCCCCCCCCCCCCCACACCCCTAAAAATTGAGTCCCCATACCCTAGAAAATATCTATAACGGGAGTATTTAGCCTAAGAGGGAGAGGGGTTTCATCTTAGTGGGGCAGGAAATGGGGTCCCATGGACCTAAACCCTAAACCCTAGACCCTAACCCCAAAACCCTAAACCCCACACCCTAAACCCCAAACCCTAAACCCTAAACCCTAAAGCCAGCACCAGGAGCCTCCACCGCCACCTCCGCCGGTGGAGGACCTCGGTGACCTCACGCAGGGCTGCCCTTTACTAGATGAGGTGCGGTTTAGGGTTTAGGGTTTAGGGTTCAGGGGGCAGCCTTTCTCAACAGAGGCAGAAGGGGTTCAGGACCCAGGCTCTAGGGTTCAGCTACGTGAGCACCGGTGTCTACAGATTCGGTGGGCCACGCCTTGCTTCTGTTGTGAGGCTCGTGCATCCGGCATGGTCCTCGGTTCCGGGTTCAAAAGGGTGTTTTTTACTAACTTGCTCTCAGATCTCCCCGAAAAGGACCAACCCACAAGCCCCTAAACCCCTAAACCCAAACCCTAAACCCTAAACCCTAAACCCTAAACCTAAACTAAACCTAACCCTAAACCTAAACCAAACCAACAGTAAGTATAGGGCCCTGTTTGAACCGAAGAGGAGCCCCTAGGCTCGTCTATTCGAAACCCCCAAACCTGCAAATTTTGTAGGTCATTGCTCGAAAGCCCTTTCTGGGGTTCTTAGGTAGCCTACGCAACAAAAGGTTAAACCCTAAACCCTAGAGACCCTTAAACCCTAAACCCTAAACCCTAAACCTAACCCTAAACCCTAACCCCCTAAACCCTAAACCCTAAACCTAAAACCCCCCCCCCCCCCCCACAAAACAAAAAAAGAAAGAATGAAGCAGGTTCCTTGCCAGCGGCTCGTGGAAGGAATCGACTTGAACCAGGCACAAGTTTCCTGGTGCTTCGTGAGGAAGGAGGGATTTAGGCACCTTATCTTCACCCTGTACATACCCTTAAAGGGCTTCTATAGGGTTACTAGCAGTAAGGACATCGCCCTACCAGAGCTTGCAGGGTGTTTTAGGTCCAGGGGGACGGGGGCATTGGGATTTAGGCATTCGGTTCTGGGGGTTGAGGCTGGCAGGGCGATGTCCTTGCTGGCTCTTATATACTAGGGAATGAGGGAATGAGGTACCCTATAAAACCCGTTATAAGGGTGTGCCATACATATATATATATACATATACATATGTGTGTTTTTTTGTAAGGGGGGCTACAAAGTAGCCGATTTGCGTGTACAGGGTTTAGAGGCCTTCAGATCAAGCGTGTCTAGCGGGTTGCAGGCACTTCCATGTCACACATGGGCATTCCAGCCCGAATGACATCAACCCCACAGACTTCGATGATTTGGGGGGTTGCTAATCCCTAAACTCGAAACCCTAAACCCTAAACCCTAAACCCTAAGCCAAACCTAAACCCTAAACCCTCTCGACCTGAACACCCCGTCCTGGCAGGCCCGGCAGCTCTATGAGAGCTTGACGGAGGACCAGAAGGACCGGTTTAGGGTTTAGGGTTTAGGGTTTAGGGTTTAGGGTTTAGGGTTTAGGGTTTAGGGCCAGAAGGACACATTCTTTTGAGGTTGGAGCCATGAGCCCTTACTGTGGTCCTTTGCCCTTGTTTATAGGGATCCGAAGTATGGGCCCTTACTCTATAATCGTGTTTGTAAGGGTATTCTTCGAGCGCGAGCCCTATCCCTAAGGCGCCAAGAACTCTTAATTAAGGGTTTGTTGGGTTTGTTGGTTGGGATGTTGTCCCTTCTACTAGCAGTCCCCTTTATTAGGGATTATACCCTAAACCCTAAACCCTAAACCCTAAACCCTAAACCCTGAACCCTGAACCCTAAACCCTAAACCCTAAACCCTAAACCCTAAACCCTTTCCTCAAACCTTTGCCCCCACAGGAGCAGCTGGCTTCACAAGGTCTCGACCCCCGCGGCTGCTTCGAGGCCAACCTGGAAACTGGTGCAGACAAGGGTCCTGCGCAGCTTGCCCAGCAGAGTCAGTAAGCCCCTGCCAGGGCTTAGGGTTCAGGGTTTAGGGTTTAGGGTTTAGGGTTTAGGGTTTAGGGTTTAGGGTTTTCAGGATTTAACAGCCTTAAGGGCCCATGTGCCTGCCAGGGTTTAGGGATTAGGGTTTAGGCTTTAGCCCTGAGGGCCCATGTACCTACTGACATAAAGTGGGCTTGGGGTCTTTCCTATTTAGGGTCATGGACCCTAAACCCTAAACCCTTAATAAACCCTTAAGGGCAAGGGGATCGTGAGGCCTGATGCTGGCATGCAAGGTACGAAATCGGGATATCAAGCCGCATTTGGGGTGGGGGCCTCTTGTTGAAGGAGACCTGAGAGTTTAGGGTTAGGGTTTAGGGTTTAGGGTTTAGGGTTTAGGGTTTAGGGTTTAGGGTTTAGGGTTTAGGGTTTAGGGTTTAGGGTTTAGGGTAAGAACCCCCAACAAAAATCCCAAGGACACTTTGAACCCAAATTACGGCTGAGCGCAAACTTGCGGCCTGCCATGAGCCTTGCTTAGGGTTTAGGGTTTAGGGTTTAGGGTTTAGGGTTTAGGGTTTAGGGTTTAGGGTTTAGGGTTTAGGGTTTAGGGTTTAGGGTTTAGGGTAGGAAAAGTCGTATTGATCCGAAGGCTTCTCGGAAGTTTAGGGTGTACGGCCCCATAGGGTTTAGGGTTTAAGGGTCTGATGAGGAAAAAAAGGGCTTAGGGTCTGGCGCAACAAGGATTTAGGCTTCAGAGTGTTTAGGTTTCAATGGTTGAGCGTCGCTTGTCCGGGTGTCGTGTCTTGCACCTCAGGCCGCAGCCTCAGCATTCCTGGGTTGAAAAAGGGGGCCTGCCTGAATGCTTTTCTATTGAGCAGGGATTCACCATTCGGTTCTAGGCGCCGATTTTCTTGGTACTCGGGTGGCAAGTAGGAGCTGACGTCAGTGAAACTAGTTGCTGTTCTCGTCGGCTGCAGATTGCAGGGCGAAACCCGAAGCCTTAGGCGGAGTGGTGCTTGGTGGAGGTCAGAACTGATAAAGGGTTGGAGCCACAAAACGCAGTGCCAACCTATGCCCAAAGCCTAAACCCTCAACCCTCAACCCTCATGGCATCCCCAAACAACCCTAAACCCTAAACCCTAAACCCTAAACTCCAAACCCTAAACCCTAAACCCTAAACCCGAAACCCTAAGCCCTAAGCCCTAAACCCTAAACCCTAATTCTAAACCCTAAACCCTAAACCCTAAACCCTAAACCCTAAACCCTAGCAGCAAGCACCGACTCGACCTTACGAGCGGACTTTTTGCTTTCGGGGAAAGCACCCAACGCTCGGGGTCCTGAAGGCAGCCGCAGGAGTTCGGGTTTTGGATTTAGGGTTTAGGGTTTAGGGTTAGGATTTACTGTTGAGAGTTTTTGTTCTAAGACACATATGTATGCATACATATATTAGATATGCGCCCCATTGATACATGCATCTACACATGTTCGTGTTATGTTACTCTTGATTTTGTATTTTGTTACTGTGGCTGTTATCCGGTGCGCGACACAGGTATGTGGAGTTCACCGGACCCTTGGCTGCACGGGGATTCCACGAGCTGGCACAAGCGTCTCGTGTGTCAGGGTCCTGAGCCCTAAACCCTAAACTCTAAACACCCTAAACCCTCAGCCCCAAACCCTAACCTGCGTTGCATCTCCTGCGTAGGCTACGGTTCCATAAGCAAGAGATCCATCACACCGTGCAGTATATCCGAAGCGAGTCGACAGAAATCCCGCATTCTCCGCAGGGCTAAACCTCGCAACGCCCTCTTCCCCACCCAGAAACCCGACTGCCCAACACATATGCATATATACAAATGCATGTACAATTTGAATATAGAAATATAAATATAAATAAACAAATAAATATAAAGATAAAGAAACAAATATATATATATATATATATATATATATATGTATGTCCACCCTATAAACCCGAAACACCAGATATGCGTGTGGGTGCGCACGTGTTTGTTTTACACAGAACCGGCTTCGAGGGAACTCCACTAAACCCTACTAAGTCCTGCTCAACTGCTAATCCCTAAACCCTAAAACCTAAACCCTGAGCCTGCTTTCAGGGAATCCCTCGACTCTGGATCCGGTTCGGGTCCGGGCGCTGTCCCGTGGGCTCCGCGGCAAGGCGCCCATGAAGCTGAGCTGGAACTTGGGGAGCCGTTGTTTGGGGCAACCCCTAGGGTTTAGGGTTTAGGGTTTAGGGTTTAGGGTTTAGGGTTTAGGGTTTAGGGTTAGACTTTCAGTCCAGTGGCAAAAAGGGTTTAGGGTTTAGCGTATATACTTAGGCCTTGAAGCGGTTCCTAGATGCTTAGGGTAGCAGGGTGGTATTTAGGAACATGCTCAGAGCGCTTGCGAATCCTTTCTGCTTATCTTATCCTACAGTCCGACTGCGTGAGGAAGGCCTAAACATGCAAGTCCTCCAAGGCTAAACTCCCAAACTTTAGGGTTTAGGGTTTAGAGTTTAGATTTTTAGGGTTTAGGGTTTAGAGTTTAGATTTTTAGGGTTTAGGGTTTAGGGGAGCTAGATGCTGAGAATTCATGAGGATGGCGGAACCTATTACCCAGATTCGGGGTTCAAGGTTTTGTGTCTTGGGTTCAGGTTGTCTAGATGGGGGAGCGGGGGAGGGTGATGGTGCCGTCCCCGTGTAATGAGAATCCTAAACCCTAAACTCCAAACCCTAAACCCTAAACCCTAAACCCTACACCGCACACCCCCAAATCCTCACCCTGCACCATGGGTGCCTCCCCTGAAAGGGTTTAGGGTTTCGGGTTTTCGGGTTTTCGGGTTTCGGGTCTCGGGTTTCGGGTTTAGGGTTGACTTGCCTGTCTCTTGGGGAGCTCAACCTGAAACATGGGGGGTGGGGGTTTCCCGAACACCCCTTGCAGGACCTTCCGGGTTTGCAGCTTAGAGTTTAAGGGGTTTAGGGTTGTAACGTTCAGGGAATGTCCAGATTCTCCAAGGGGTTGTTGAGGGCTGCTTTGTACCTTGAGAACCTAGGTAGTTATGCACCATTCCTTCGTAATCATGCTATGATTTCAGGGTTCCCTAAACCCTAAACCCTAAACCCTAAACCCTAAACCCTAAACGGAGGGTTCATGGGGGGTAGGTGCCTAGGGAACCTTCGGAAGCTCAGAGGTCCTGAGTAGGGGGGAGTAGTAGGGAACCTTGGGTTACATACCCCCCCATTGCACCCCGCTTGCCTTATATAAGAACCCCTAGTAGTATCAGTTCAGCTACGCACCCCAAAAACAGGCAGTTTTGGCGCGCCTCTGTGCAGCCCCAAGTCCCAAACCTAACGAGCATCTTTCGCGTTTTATGAGATATTCCCTATGACAGCGCATGGGAAAGGTTCGGTCAACAGTTCAGGGTGTAGGGTTTAAGGTTTCCCCGGCCATCGAAATGTCGATTGATGTGCATCTGCTCAGCGGCAAGAGGGTTTCTCTTGAGATTCAGGAAGATGCATCCGTGGAAGAATTGAGCCAACGCGCCCAGAGCGCTCTGGCTGTTGGCAAAGGGCGGCTGTTGAGTACTGATGGCCATGTCCTGGATGCAGCACAGACAGTTAAGCGGGCGAGGATACAGAGTGGCGATGCGTTGTTCCTGCAAATTCGGCTGCCGCAGGTCATCGCTTCCTCAGGCATACATGGGGTTTCTGGTTTTGCCGCGATTCTCGGTGATGGGTCTTGCAGGATCTGGGGCCGTGCCGATGTCGGTGGTGACAGCATATCAGTGCAAGCTCAACTGAAGGGCGTGCAGTGTGTTCAAGCTTCTGATGGCGCGTTTGCAGCGATCCTCGGGAACGGATCTGTTTTGACCTGGGGCACTGCTCGATGTGGTGGTGACAGCAGTTCAGTGCAAGCTCAGCTGAAGGGTGTGCAGCGCATCCAGGCTTCTCAACATGCCTTTGCCGCGATCCTCGGTGATGGATCGGTCGTGACCTGGGGTCATGCTATGTTTGGTGGCGACAGCAGTGCTGTGCAACATCAGCTGAAGGGCGTGCAGCACGTTCAAGCCTCTTCTAGTGCCTTTGCCGCGATCCTCGGTGATGGATCTGTGGTGACGTGGGGCTCTGCTCACTCTGGTGGTGACAGCAGTTTTGTGCAAGCTCAACTGAAGGGCGTGCACCACATTCAAGCTACTCGATATGCCTTTGCCGCGATTCTCCGTGATGAATCTGTTGTAACCTGGGGCGGTCCTTTTTCTGGTGGTGACAGCAGATCCGTGCAAGCTCAGCTGAAGGGCGTGCAGCGCATCCAGGCTTCTCAACATGCCTTTGCCGCGATCCTCGGTGATGGATCGGTCGTGACCTGGGGTCATGCTAGGTTTGGTGGCGACAGCAGTGCAGTGCAAGCTCAGCTGAAGGGCGTGCAGCACGTTCAAGCCTCTTCTAGTGCCTTTGCAGCGATTCTCGGTGATGGATCTGTTGTGACGTGGGGCGACGCCGATGACGGTGGCGACAGCAGTTCCGTGCAAGCTCAGCTGAAAGGTGTACAGCACATTCAAGCTTCGCCCTCGGCTTTTGCTGCAATCCTGTATGATGGATCTGTTGTGACCTGGGGCGAGTCCGAATTTGGTGGCGACAGCAGATCAGTGCAAGCTCAGTTGAAAGCTGTGCAGCACGTCCAGGCTTCTGAAAGTGCCTTTTCGGCGATTCTCGGTGATGGATCTGTTGTGACGTGGGGCGACACCGAGTCCGGTGGCGACAGCAGTTCAGTGCAAGCTCAACTGAGGGGCGTGCAGCACATTCAAGCTTCTCAACATGCCTTCGCCGCGATCCTCGGTGATGGATCGATCGTGACCTGGGGCAGCGGTTCCGTTCAAGGCAAACGGGACGCGGCAGAGCATCAGAATAATACAGGGGTCGGAAGAATTACAAATAGTATCCCCTTATGGTCCCTTTATAACTATACTACAAGAACCCCCCCAAACCCTATTGTAATCACTCAGGCCCCTATATTATGAACCGTGCGACTGCTGTTATCTGTTGCTGTGAAGAACGATTGCTTTCTGTAGCTCGGGCCACCCCAATAACCAGAACCGCGAAACCCCAAACACCCTGAGGTTTGGAGCTTTAGGGTTTGGGGTTAAGTTTAGGGTTTAGGGTCTAGGTTTAGGGTTTAGGGTTTAGGGTTTAGGGTTTAGGGTTTAGGGTTTCACCCAAACCCTACACGGCAAACTTATCGGGATTCAGGGTCTTTCTTATACAGAAAGGTGGGTTGGAACGGGGGCGGGAGAGTTTTGCAATCTTCTCATGGCTTCGAGATTCAGCATCAAGAAGCTTAGAGACATGGGTTCCCCGATTGTCCAACACCCATCGCTTATGAATAGACGGTTTAGGGTTTAGGGTTTAGGGTTTAGGGTTTAGGGTTTAGGGTATCCCAAATGGCTATGGCTCAAGGGTTTCGGCTTAAGTTCCCCGTTTGTTCGAGTTGGTTCGCTTGACTCCTAGAACCCATGGCTGATCATGGGTCGGATGGTTTCCCACTGGCTGCTACTCAGCATGATGAGTTTGATGAGCGATCTACCAGTCCCCCAAAACGCACCAAGAGGGATCCCCCTGATGCTGATGCTCTTCTAGATGAACTTCTGAGTCAACAGGCCAGGCATGCAGAGATTGTTCCAGCTTGGGTTTCGTCACTACAGCTATCAGTCCAGACTGGTTTTGCAGAAGTGAAGCAGAGCTTGAATGATTACAATGCCAGACTGACGCATGTTGAAGCTATCACTTCCCAGCCAGCGCGCGATCCTAGAGTCGATGCTTTGGTTGACAAAGTTGATATGCTGACGAAGGCGTTTGATGAACAGAAGAAGAATCAGGCAGCAAGCACACCCAACTCCACGCCTGACCGGTTCCAAGGGGCTGGGATGCATGGCTCAGATG